TTACGTCACCGTAGGTACTGGAAATCGACTATTTAAATTTAACTGACTATTAAATAAAATACCTGGTTCTATAATATACAGGTGTCTATAAAAAATGATCGCAGTTAGTATATAGGAGATTATTGAGACGATATGTTTAAAACCTTTGTGCATTGTGCATAGTAACTCATAATGTTCATCGAAAACATATGACTAGTTCATAATTCATAGTATAATTATGTATAATTATAATAACATTAATTTCCTAGTTGTTTCTTGGTAAAATCCAGTGGCCTGTAACAAGTCGAACACCAGTACAACTTGTTAGTTAAGTCGACAAGGCTTAAACAAACCAACAGATCGTGACCTGGAAGTAAGTACATCAATTAAAAGACCAATGCCGATAAAAATAATCTTTTTTTTTTTATTTCTGACTAATTATTATCGTAACATAAAAAAATCTATACATTTCTAAACATTTGCATGCGCTACTTTCCATTGAAGTAAAACCGCCTATCGAAGAGAATTGAGTACTTATCTTAATTAATTGTCATTATAATGTATAAATAATAATACTGAATTTTTTAATGATGTTAGGTACATTTGAAAATTAAACCAAGGTGTGAGTTTTACAGTTTGTATTCATTGGCAGTACATTTTTGAAATATAAGTCTATTTTTTATGAGTTTTGGTCAGAAAATAATATATTTTTTTTAGAAAATTACTTTTCATTTTTCGTTATAAAAATTATCATCAAAACAGTTTTACTTTTTTGTTTTTAGATTAAAACCAGTTAAGTACTATCTATTAAAATATGTATTTAATTGTTTTCAATTATTTTTGATAATATGATGTATCAAATAGGTATCTTAAGTATGTGTAGGTATATAGTAATATGCGTAGGTGTAATGTGTGTAAATATGTATAAGCAAATAATTTGTGTTCATTGAATACCAACGTCGTTTGTCGTTTATATAAACATGAATAAATATAAATATTATCTATTTCTACGATTATTTCTTATTTATTACGATTATAATTATTCTCATACAATTCATTTTTTAATAACACTCAACGATATGAATTTGTATAATTCAGAATTTATACAAATGATTAATCTCTTGGAGAATGCAAAGTTAAAATTATATATAATAACAAGATGCTATTTACTTCATTCATTTATAATAGGTATATCTTTAGCTGTAAATCAAAGTTAATTTCCGGTGGAAGGAAGGGTAAATTAATAATAATAAAAAAAAAAAAAACATTAAGGGTGCCAAAACGGGCGGGACCAGTTTTGCCCAACTTCGACCATTCCCACTTCGCCCAAACATATTTTAGACATTTTAAAATTAAGTTGGCAATGATTTTAATCAAATTATTTACAAATTTATTAGCGAACCTTGATATAGCAAAATTAATATAGTATTATCGGTAGATATTATTATGTGACTGCTACGACGACAAGTATATAATAAATATTGTGTGTTTTATTCCTTGTGATTAGTTAAAAACTGTAGTAAAGACCAATAAGTAGGTATATATAATACACTATTATAGTGTAATACATTTGTAAATAATTTGATTAAAATCCATTGTTAACTTAGTTTTAAATTATGTTTGAGCGAAACGGGAAAAGTCAAATTTGGGTGAAACGAGTGGCGACCGCCATAGCTTCGACAGTATTTTAAATGTGTCGTGCCATGTTTTAAATTCTAAATGTAGTAAAGAAAGCAATCGTTTTATTAAGATGTGTTTTTTTTCTTTGAAAATACTATTTTTGGTTAGTAAAAGTTCTCACATAGTCCACATCTGACAATGACATATCATTGGTTTTATTTTTGTTGATTTTTAGGTTACCTTGGATGTAAGGGGAAATACAACATTATTATCTCAACAGTTTACCGAGTTTCACCCAGAATCGATTGCTATTATTTTTCGTTGTTTTCAGTGTATATATAAACTAAACTACACTGTATAAGGGGAAGTTCCAGGACAAGGAAATGGAGAAGAAGGCAATTTTTAAAATTCATTCAAGGCACGCATATGACGAGTTAGGTTAATAGTATGTTGGAGAATGGATAGTGAAAAGAGAGAAACGAATGCTTCATCGACCCCCCCTCCCCTGGGTCCGCCACTGTCAGTATCTGTAAATCATAAATCAACGTTTCAATTGTTAGCTAGGTAGGTCACCCATCATCTCAATTAATTCGTGTTATTTAAATTTTGAAACGTAATTTCGATTAATCTTGAATAATTCTAAAATCAAAAAATAAAAACACGTTTGGTATAGACCAGAGGTTCCCAACCAAGGTACCGCAAAATTATTTGAAATATATTTTTTTTTTTAAAAACGACTTCATGAAAAATATAACACTGTGAGTAATAAAACAGACTATAGTACTATACTCTATAGTAGAAAACCTATTGTATATAATTAATTATACTCAATATAATTTAATATACTAATTATTTAATACGTATAATTTGTACATAGTAATACTGCGATGTTCAATCTATTTCATTGGGCCATTTTTCGACGTCATATTTGTGTGAACAAGAATTTTCCATTCTTGTAAACATAAAAATAAGTAAACGAATAAAAATGGAGTTCATTGAAGAAAAAATGAGAATATGTCTTTCAACTATTCGACCTCGAATAAAAGATTTGTGTAAAAAAAACAAGCCCAAGTATTACATTACTACGTTAGTAACATTAGTTCCATAAGTTACCTAATTTTAAATTAGTTTTAATAATCAAATAATATTATATAATAACAATTAAATATAAAATATATAGTTAATGTCCAATGTGATAATTTGTTTTATAACATATAATATGTGTATATAGCTACTACTTTTGTTTATACTAATGCACTTAGCTAAATAAAACCAGTTACAAAATATAAATTTAAATACACGATATATGTATTACTATTGCGTATTCAGTATAGAGTATAGGCCATAGGATGCCTCTGGATTTTTAGAAAATAATTAAGGGTGCCGTGAGTCGAAAAAGATTGGAAACCTCTGGTATAGACAGACACGTATGATAGAAATGTGTGTTACTTTGTATATTGTACCCATAGTGATTTATACAAAGTATTGATTTCTAGAAAGTACATTTTTTCCGCTGCTAAAGTTGTTTATACTTTTCCTATTAAAAATGTTCCCTTAGATTTAGTATAAATCAATTAATACAGTAGCTGTCGTTATAAAACAAAAATCTCTTTCTCCATAACAACCACACCAATATATCAGGTCATAAACATTATTGCACTTTCAGCCGCAACCCGTAATATTGTTAAAGCTATTAAATAATACAAATATTGCGTAATTTTTTAGACTTTCTCAATTCTCAATATTCAATCATATATATATATATATATATATATATATATTTTCCCTCCATTATTTATAATTTTTATATTCGATGTAATGATAATATTGTAAACACTNCTATTAAATAATACAAATATTGCGTAATTTTTTAGACTTTCTCAATTCTCAATATTCAATCATATATATATATATATATATATATATATATATTTTCCCTCCATTATTTATAATTTTTATATTCGATGTAATGATAATATTGTAAACACTGCAAAATGAACATAAAATCACGAAATTCCAATTTGATAATAATGCGCACATAGGATATATTTTAATTATTATTATTTTATTATTAATTTCTCACTTCTCGGAGGAATTTCTAAATGAAATTCCTGAATTGCTTGTCGAACAATTCGTCTATATCATCTTATTGTCTTAATAAACAGAAAAATGTGCTTGCTACGATTTTGGTTTTTATTAAATTTCAAGTTAACTCCGTGGCCGCTGTTAATTTTTGAAAAATATGTTTACACTGATAAAACAAATATTTATATATATGTTTATATTAAAAATGTTATACTTACCTATACATTAATTGTTATCAGTGACATGTTCTGAATATTCATATGATGGGGATCTAAATATATCTAGGTATAGATATGAAATCATTAAACATATTTTTAAGTAGAAATTGGTTCAATACTTGGTACTTACCTAACTAATAATTGGTCATTCAAACAGTGCATCCGTTATTTTATAAATAAAAAAACAATTACAGCATGTAATTGCGTACGCAAAATAAATTCAAATCTACAGAGTTAAATACTAAAAAGCTAAAGAACCTAAATAATTAAATTACGGAAATTCATTATAAGTGGAAATGAGTTTTTTAAAAAAAAAAAAGTTTAAAGAGTTTATGACGCACAGTAAGGGAGTGACCCTTCTTCCCTAAACACTGAAGATTACCAAAGTTTTGCTAAAGATAAATTATTTATTTAAACTCACCGCGTATCTAAGGACTCGAACGACGAGTTCAGCGTTCCAGTCTGTAGTACACCATTCCGACTTAATATTTTATTTTTCAATACGTTCAATAGGTAATATATACCTAACACATATTATTTATAACGTTGTAAATATTTATAGATTTTTAAAGCGGACGGGTAAAATTGGTATAGATTAAAATAATAATATTGTGTACTGTATAACTGTAAAAAAAAAAGAAGTAATAAACTAATAAAACGTTTGACTAAAAAGAACTATTGGAACCAATAAAATGCTAAAACTGCCTAATACATGAGCCATGGGGGGAAAAAATACAATATTTTTAATCACATAATTAAAACGTAAAAACAACATTTTATGTAACATTAATGATCTTTGAATTGATTGATCTTTTTTTAATTTGTATATTATACTATTATAATTATGTATATTATACCTATTGTAGAATAATACGCTAATATTAATAATATTCGGCGTTCTAGGTTTACAAAGTAAATAATATTTTAATAGGTCATTGATAATGATAATATTAATTTGATATTATAATATATTTATGTGTACATATATATATATATATATATATTATAATAGGTTATAATATAATATTATGAAGTAGGTATTAAATGATAGGTAGCTAACTGTCTGAAGTAGCTGATTTGTCTTCAGTCGATTCGAATATCGCATTAGTGGTAGGCATGTGTTTTTAAAGCTCTATGCTAAATTATATGACTAATATATTATTATTATTATTATTATTTTTATTATGGAGAGTAAGTGTTATAATATTTATCTATTCGGATTTTAATAGTTTTCATTATTTATTGTATAAAAATTTAAAATAACATAGAATATATAATATTATAAAATTATTACAGAACGAACAATTTTATGGTTCATGACGTTCTGGGGTTTTGCTATAAATTATATGATCCGCATGAATATAAATATAGCAATCGTATCGATGATTAAACATTCTACGAAAATTACGAACATAACTGCGACTCCGAGCGAGTGTCCCAGACACGATGTACGGCTGTTGAAATCGATGAACAACACTTTTGTACTGCAAAATTCTTCGACAAACTCGGACGTAAGTATATGAAACAGAATTTTTTTTTTTCGTTTGATATCGTATAATCAAATATTGAAATGACTGACACTATCTGTACAGGCGTATAAATAAAATTAAAGTGTCTATCTGTGACTTGAGAGTAACTAGTTTCTAACAGTTGTGTAATCGGGATTAAATCATAGGGGGTAAATCGATATTCCGTCATAAAAACAAAATACTTCATACTGAATAAAATATATAATTTATACATTTATATCACTCGGACTGTATTTTACCGGAAACTTTATGCACCTGGATTGATTTTCGGAAGAAAAAAAAAAGTATAGCCACGGACTACTAATAATTCCGGAAAACAGGTTTTTCCGATCCGTAATTAAGAACTGGATTTCAAAGAAAAAATATAAGTAGTTGCGCGTACTGTTGCTAGTCCCGATCGCCTATTACCAAACCCTATACAGACTGTATTTATATTATAGAATCTATAAGATACTCGTTATCTCGGAAAACATTAACTTTTTTCGGATTTTTTTTTTTTTTCCTGACAACTTAAGAAATAAGTAACTCCTTGGATTTATATTACCATTATTTTAGTCGCTTTTATTTAATGTTTTTGCAGCTGAAATAAATCCTTTTGATTTTCAAACGATCTCGTAATTGTTTTTAATAACAAATATTAGGCTTGTTGGAGCTAGTTTTCTAAATATTCTCATTTTATCACCAATCTACTAGCTAATGCCCGTTTGGGAGGGTGGGAGCAATGACATAACTAGGAAGAAATAAAAAAAATAAATACAAATTATTGTAAAACCAAAACATTCCTTGCTCCGCTATGAATCTAAAAACGTGGTTAAGGTAGAAAGATATACGGGCATTGGAAGGTTTGGTTATACGTGCCCGGTTGTGTATATCCGAGAATGCAAAAATGGTTCAAACGTTTTCCAAGATTCCCAGGTTATACGGTTCGTGATTAATAATTTGTTTTCTGATAATATATAGTCCGAGCGTTTACAATCCGGGAACAGACAATCCGTACAAATACGTTTTGCATATTTTTCAATCAGGGTTTATAAGGTTTCCGGTAAAATACAGTCCGAGTGTGTACATTCCGGAAACATATAATCCGTACAAATACGGTTTGAAAATAAAAATTCCAGAAACCAATATTCCGTACAAATATATTTCGTGCTTTTACATGCGTCCGTAAATTAGTACGAAAGTATAATATAATAAACAGGGGTAAACTAGCGTATTAATCTATTGAGACACCTCCATCAGACTAATTGCCACCACTTATGATAAGTTAACTATTGAAAATAGTGACTGCTTGAATTGTCTAATTTTCTATTTAATGCCGAGACCATAATATACTTTTTTTCGGACGCATGTAGAAGCACATATGCCAGTTTGCCCCTGTTTATTATATTGTACTTTTATACTAATTTACTATACTTTATTTGAAGCAAATAATCATAATAATACCTACCATCTATGTCTACTTTCCTTGGCCTAAGGGCTAAGACCTAATTCATTTAGAGTACCTTCTGGGTTCATCAATACACTTTTTGAATTCCTAACATCGCCAATATATTTAATCGACAATCGATGTCTTTGGCCATATTTATTATGTTCTAAGATTGTCGTGCACAAAATAACAACAAATCGTTTAATTTTCACCAAAACAATAAATTATTTTCTATTTCAAAATTATAGAAGTACAAAAAATATTCAATAGTTTGACACCTAGACAAATTATGCTAATGTTTTCTAAGCTTAAATGGTTTTTATTATATAATATAAAAAAACTATAAAAAGATAAAACTCTTTTTACGACTTTTGTTCGTCTACCTGTTAGTCTGGGCTAATCTCGGAAATCTCCCATTTCCACGAGACTTCTTACCATACGCCGAATTATGTTTAGGTGATTTAATTTTTTCAATGATTGAATTTTTCCTTTTGGTTTCTTCATCAATTGTACCCAGTGTTGTATTGGTAAGTAAATGATGGGTATACGCGCCTTATAGGGGTTAAATTTACCCCCAAAAATGATTTTCTCTACGCTCAAAATTGCATTCCACTAAAATGTGGATTTTTTTTTTTTTTTTTTGGGGGGGAAGGCCCGTTCAAAAATTTATCATAAAATACCAATAATTGTCTAGAGAAAAATTTAAAACGTAATGGGTAGAAAATCAAAGTATCATTTGATTTTTTTGGTGAGAAGCTTAAATTTCGGGTGGGATGTCCAGACCCCATGATCTCTCTGACTTCAAACTACTTAACAACCTTACTACACCGACACATTACCTAGCATACTATTAGGTTCAGTAGTATGTCCGCTTTGAAGATCTACAATTTAAATTTGACTACCGATCTGTTCTCTTTTGGGACAAACTATATAATAAAAAATCAATTGTTTCTTATTATCATTTTTTTTTCACGGTTTTATGGTGATGATAAATTAAAAGCTTGCGTATACCTTTAATGTACATATTTTTAATCAAATAATAAAGTAAAAACAAAATTATAAAAATAGTTGGTGCCCGTAAATAAACAAAGTAAATAAGTATATAAATAAAAAATGTATATATAAAAATAAAATAAATGAATGAATCAATGCGTCTGGAGTATTATGATAAGTGTATTATACGACCAGTTTCGAATTAAAAATTCATCATCAAGTATATCACAGTCAAAATGTAAAATGCGGCTGACTATAAAAACGAAGAAAAACATTGAAAAAAGAAGTATACAAAATTGATCGTTTTACATAGACATAATTTATTTTAATAAGAGAAATTATTTAAAATGGATTATTAGACATAGATATATTAAGAAATATAAATTATTTGGTTATTATTTATTATCTAAAATGTATTGATGTAAGAATAAGGTATTATTTTTAAAATCAGTTTGAACATTTAACATTTTTTTTCTTTATTTCATTGTGCATGTACAATTCTTTTAAAACTAATGTAAATGTTATTCTGGGTATTTAATACTTTTAAGTCTGTATTAAATTATATTCGCAAAAAGATGGATTTGTTACAGGTAGTCCTTCAAGTGCTCTCTTATTTGAAATTTACATGCAAAATTATAAAACCAATAATATTATTAACAAAAAAATATACAGTCCATATATAAAAGCATATTATAGATATGTTGATGACACATTCATTTTATTTAGAGGTTCAAATAGACAAGCAGAAAATTTAGTTAACTACTTAAAAAATTAATAAAAACATTCAACTACACTCGAAATACAAATGAAATTGAATCTCTTAGATTTTACAGTTTCCATAATAAACAATAAATTTGATTTTAGTATTTACTGGAAACCTACACAAATTATAATACCACATTATTCTAATCACCCTTATTCTCAAAAAATGTTTTTTAATTCAATATTCTATAGGCTTGAATATAATTCATTAAATAAACATAATTATCAATACAAGCTCAATATTATCTATAATATAGCTCGTAGAAATAATTTCAAGTTAAATACTATTAAAAAATCTCATAAACGTATTAAAAAAAAAATAATACACAACTCACCAAATATTGTTGTTAACTATTGTTGTATGAAATATTAAAATAATATATCTAACGAATTCGCTAAAATGTTGAACAATAACACAAATAATGTAAAAATCACTTTTAAGACAAATAATAATTTAATCAAATATATAAACAATAGAACTAAAAACTTCACAAAATATCCCTCTTCTTTTAAATGGTATGTATAAACTTAAATGTAACTGTAATCAATTTTATATAGGTAAGATAAATAGAAATTTTAAAATAAAATTAAAAAAAGACTACTCCTCTTTCAAATTTCGCTAAACATGTCTTAGAAAATCACCATAATATAAGTTTTGATACTAATACAGACTTAGAAATATTAAATAACTAAAATAACATTTACATTAATTCAGTTTTAGACGAATTATACATACACAATGAAATAAAGAAAAATAATATAATAATATTTTAAATGTTCTAACCGATTTTTAAAAAAAATATCTTATATCAATACATTTTAAATAATCTATTCTATTAAAATAAAGTTATTTCTATGTAAAACAACCAATTTGTACAATTTTTTTTTCTATATATTCCTTCATTTAATTTTTTATATTCAGTCGCGTTTTACGTTTTGATATACCTGATGATGAATTTTTAATTCGAAACCGGTCGTATAATACACTTATCATAATACTCCAAGCGACGCATTGATTGATTCATTTATTTTATTTTTATATATCCATGTTTTATTTATATATTTATTTACTATACATATTTTTAGGTGGCTTGTACCCATAATCAACGAATTTGCTTATAGGTATACGCATAAATCCAAAAATACAATGTACATTGTATACCCACGTTTACCCTTCAATACACCATTGTCTGTACCTATACTAATACTGAGACGGATATCGATATTTTCGTCCAATACCGTGCATGGGTAAGACCGTGTGAGATATAGATACACAGTACTATAATGTAAATTGTTTGTTTTATTTATTCAAGGGTGTAGATAATATATTCGAATGGGACGAATACCAGCAGAATTCGGTACTCGGCGGATTTTATATTCTGCACATGATCATGCAACTGCCGGGTGGAGTGTTGGCTCAACGGTACGGTACGAAAACGGTGTTCGGCCTAAGCAATGGTCTGTCGGCGCTCCTATCGTTCGCTATACCTGCGTCGGCAAAAATTAATTACAAAGCACTAGTGGTTGTCAGAATTCTCCAAGGATTCATATCCGTAAGGCTTTTACATGGGTTTAAAACAGAAAACGAATTTTATTTTGTTATTTTTACAAGTAGGGTGGCGCGTGGCCTTCAATGCACTCAATGACGGCTAATTGGATACCGGCGCACGAGAGAAGTCGATTTGTTTCGGCTTATTTAGGTAGGTAATTAGATATAATATTTTATAGTTAATGCCTACCAGTTAGATGAAGGAATAATTACTTTTTTCTTTTTTAAGTATACCTATTTCTATTCACCCGGATAACTTGCGGATATATTATTACCGGTTATATAAAACTACAGACGTATTCGTTGAAGTTTAGGGGATAACTAAATGAACAGGTTGCCTCCCTAAGCTTACCCGATTCGGTCAATCGGACATTTTTTTTAATATTACAAACAAATCAACAAACAAACACATGAGAGAGAGTCTTTTTAATATGTGTAAAATCAGTCGAACGAAAGGACAGTTTGCTGTATCTGCCTAAACAAAGTACTTCATTGCGAAAATTGTTTTGTATTAAAATTGATTCAACTCAATTCAAAATCAAAATAAATTATTTTGAAGATTGATCATAGATACCTAATTGAAAATTAGAAATAACAAACAGTTTCGTACATTAGTCACGCGAATTGATTACACGTTTATACAACAACTAATCAACGGTTACATGACATAGATACTACCATACTATCATTAAAAAAGTGATTAGGAAAAAAGCTGTCCTTACAAAACAGCATTGTCTAAGAAAATATTTATCTGGCTATAGTTTGAAATTGATTCAATTAACAATATTCAAATTGTTTAAGTGAAGAATTAAATAGGTACCTATATATTATACTTTTTGATGTAGTCTGTAGTATCGGAGATTTGTGAACAGTTTTACATTTTTTGAATTTTGTGTATCTAAGTTCTTTCAATCTATGAATTATTTAAATGTTATATATTATGATAAAATATTAAAATATCACATCATACATACTCGTATATATTATATATTTTCTAAGTTAGAGAATTGTAATTTACAATAAACTTCTAGTAATCGTATAAAAGGTTATTAAGATTAGTTTTGACGTGAAATAGTTGTCAACGTAAATATTGCAAAGCAGGGGCACCAATGAGGAGAGAGCAGTGTGCACTCGCAGCCCCTTGAAATGTGTCACCATAAGAGGCTCAGGTATTAATTAATACTTTGGCTATGGTATTTCGACTTAAAATGTTAAATTTTAGAATCTGAACGGAGTGAAGAATGTATTGGTTTTACAAAGATGTTTATTTTTTTTCTGTGGATAACTTTTCCACCAGAAATTTTGTTCCAATTTTTAAGTGTACTATGTGTAGTAAGTGTAGTGCAGATACTGTAACATCTATTATTTCATAATATACAGGTTTAAATTTGTCTTCAACTGGCAGAGCCGATAAAAGTGAATCTTGTTCACTGAATTTAAAAAATCTTTTTGGTGTTTTGTTAGGTCTTTGATAATTTGGTTCCTTAATATTTAATTCTCTTTCCTTGGTTGAAATTTCTAGCCATAAGACATTAAAACCACTTTCTCTTTGCTGTTCTATTTATACAATTAAGTGTTTAATTTGAATTTTTACTTCGTGGAAGTTTAATGACTTTTGGAGTTTTGCATTGATAAGCTCAACTCTCTCAAAAATATTTATCATTACTTTGATATAATATAAAAATTAATATTTGAACAATTTTTTGAGAAGACCACTTTTTATAAAATATCAACTAGTATTATCAACAAGTAAACAGTATCAACATTACATATTACGATCATAGAGATTATCAATGTATTATTTTTTAATTATATTATAAATTTATATATTTAATTATTATTTATTTAAATATCATATATTGTTACATTATGTTTACGATTACTGTTGCTATTTTTATACCTACAGTTATTTTTTGTCTATTATAATTATATTGTGAATATTTTCAATGAGTGCTCAAGCACCCGAATAATCATGTACTTGGCGCCTATGCACATAATATATTAAATAGTATACAATTAAAATAAATCTGTCCTAGCATAATGGGGACGGATGCAGCCACTGATATAAGTGAGAAGTTAGGAAGGTAGTAGTAGGAAACTTAATATCGTATATCGAAAAAACGATTCTGAGCAGAGTTTGGTTGATAGTGTTACTTTATCAATAATATACAATGTGTCCCACGCTGACCTACTACTTGAAATAACTTTTATTAAATTCAATATATTTGATATATATATATATTATTAACATTTTTGTTTCTAAATAATTAGTATACCTCTACGCTACAGTTTATGCATGGAGATTTTTATTTAGGGAAAGGGAACTTAAAATAAAACTTTTTAAATTTTACTACGAGTTCTTAAAAAAATTCAAAATAGCCATTTTGTAAAATATATTTTTAGAACATTTTTGGTGGTTGAAACTTTTGTTTAAGTATGGTTTCTTATTTTCAACGATTTTTTGAAGTTTTCGAACATGTGAATATTACCTATTAGATTCTGAGTGGAACGAGGAATGTATTGTGGTTATTCTGTTAAAATATTTAATCAATTATTAGTCAGGGCACATAGCAAGGATTTTCTTTTCCATGAGTTTATATCATGTAATAATATTATATTATAGGTATTAGATGGTAGGTACCTACTATATCGTCAATACACAACTGAAAATTCAATTTAAATTATTTAAATTTTCAAAAAACCGTAGAAAAAAAAAGACCATACTTAAACAAAAGTTTCAACCACCAAAAATTTTCTAAAAATCTATTTTACAAAATGGCTATTTTGAATTTTTTATGTTATTAATAATTAAATATATAAATTCATAATATATTTAAAAATTAATACATTGATAATCTCTATGATAGTTATATGTAATGTTGATACTGTTAACTTGTTAATAGTACTAGTTGATATTTTATATAAAGTGGTTTTCTCAAAAAGTTGTTCAAATATGAATTTTTTGAAAAAAAAAATATATCAAAAATATTAAATGGAACAAAAGTTATTTTAAGTGGCAAATCATCGTGGGATACTCTGTATATGCCATGTGGTAAAATAATTACATATGCGTTATTTATAATTTTCTTTAATTATATTTATTTAATATTGTACCTATTTTCTCGATTTTCCCATGTTTTTTTCCCGGGTTTTCACATTTATTGGCAAAACTTCTGTGAAAATCAAAAGATAACTTCGTTTAAGTACCTCCCCAGTCCGACTTCCTTTTAGAAAAAATGTTATCATTGTAAATCGGAGCAAAATTGTTGGTAGAAAAGTTGTTCACAGAAAAATAAATAATAATAAACATCATTATCAAACCAATACATTTCTCACTCTACTCAGAATCTAAAAAATACTTGTATTTGCATTCAAATACTCTGTGAGTGTTATGCGTATACAGTATAACACTAAAATGTAATATTATTGTATATATTATGTTTCTTGTACTTATATGCAAAGGTAGTTCGATTGGTACAGCAGTAACATATGTAATGTGCGGATATCTGATCGCCTCGTTTGGCTGGGAGAGTGTGTTTTATGTTAGCGGAGGTCTCGGACTCTTGTGGATTTTGTGTTGGATGTTGTTTGTCCACGATACACCGGCCAAACATCCCACCATCAGTATTAGAGAAAGAACGTACATAGAAAAATGCATCGGAAACACCATTCAGACTAGATCAAAACCAGTAAGGACAAATTCGTACCTAATTAAAGTATTAAATGTATAATACACGTATAGTACATAATATTTTATTAGAAATTACGATTTCATTGTCGACCAGCCGGCAACTATATTAGTTAGGTATTACTTATTAATGATGTTATTTTAGATTATACACAAGTAAAAACAATAATTATTAGTAAGGCAAAGATTTGTATGCACTTAAAATCCGTAAAAAAGCACTTAAAAATATTTAAAAAAGCAAAAGTGGTAGACAAGTTTTAAAGCCCCCACTCTGATGATTCTCATCCCATTAAATACATTTTTCTAACATTGAAAAATGATTAACACAAAGCATTTTATTTTTTATAACATGTAGAAATTAATTTGAAAAAAATTACTTTGAAATAAACGTTTTTCACTATTTAATTAGAAACTATAGAAGAGGATAATTTTAAACTTCTTTTTTGGTCTTTTAAATATTTGTAAGCGATTTTTTAGAGCTTTTTTTAACGTTTTTAAATGCTTTTTCATGGATTTTAAGTGCATATAAATGCGTACCCTAATTATTAGTTAATACGGGCTGATTATATTTCACTAATACAATATGTATACAACTTAATATAATGACTACGTTATTTGGAAATATTGATTCATATCCGTTAAATTTTCAAATAAATGCACCCGATGCTCCGAAATTCAAATTAATACCTAATGTGTACATAAAGTTGACTGGACGACAGTGAGTATTATACTGCGAAAAAAATTGTAATGAAAATCTACCTATAAACTACTGTAACATGTTTAATATTATAGGTACTAATTATTACTGTATTTTTACAGTTGCCAATACCTTGGAAATCGATTTTTCTCTCTAAATCGCTATTTATTAATTTAATGGCACAGTCCGGAGGAATTTGGGGTCTGTTTACGCTATCAACGCAAGCTCCGACATACTTCAACGTTATCATGGGTTTAAACATTAAACAGGTATAAAAATAAATGATAGTAATATATCGAAACTGGAACCGTTAAAAGGTAACGATATTCAGACAGGTTTATGGTCCGGTATGCCTCATATTTGTCGGTGGATGTTCGCTTTTGGATTCAGTACGTTATGCGATCGTTTGGTAAAGTCCAAAATTATGTCTATGACGAACGTAAGGAAGATGGCTTCGTGTTTTAGTAAGACACACATAATATACATTATATAAATCTTTAAATTCGTGTTATGTTTTTTGTTCAAAACTTATCTGTTTCTTCTTTTATTTATCTTGTGTATAGGTAATATTTTACAAGGATTATTCATTATGGGTCTTTGTTTTTCCGGATGTAATTCAATAATCGCGGTAATCATGCTCGTCTGCGCGACGGCTGTAAACGGTGCCGTGTCGTCCGGAGCATTAGCTGCAGTCGTGGATCTCACTCCAAACTATGCCGGTAAATAAACGTATTATAAATCAATTTAGAATTTCAATGAATATTACAGAAAAAAATGTGTAATAAAATATGATATATTATTTAATGTATGTGTGTTAAACACAATTGATGTACACTTACACTAGTTAGTAGTTACAGTGAAATTACTAAGAGCTATAATTTTTCCAACGAAAAGCACAACAAAAAGTTGTGATATTTTTAATACATTCTAATCGACACTCGTTTAGAAATCAAATTAAATAACCTTTACGGACTTATAACAGATGGATCCCCATCAATGATTGGAATAAACAAAGGTCTCGTAGCGCTAATTAAAAAAGAAATGAGTGCACGTAGTATTTTATAACTGATGCAATATCACCGCAATATTCACCAAGAAAATGTATATGGAAAATTTTTTGGTTTTCAAACTATTATGAAAGATGTAAAAATAGTAAATTTTATTAGATCAAGAAGATTGAATCATAGAGAATTTAAAAACTTTTTAAGTGAAATAGACGTTGAATGAGGTTATGTAGTCTATTTTACAGATGTTTGTTGGCTCAGTAGAGGAAAAGTTTTTGATTTAAAAAACGAAATGTTTGAATTTGCTGCAAGCAAAGGAAAACAATTTGAATAACTTAATTATTCTGAATGGAAAAATGATTTTGCTTATCTCACGGATATTGCACTTGAAAGAGTTGAATTCACGCTTGCAACGTCAAAACCAATTAATTCATAATTTATTCAACTATATTATATCTTTAAAAAATAAACTTCTGTTATGGGAAATCCGGTTAAAAAGAATAACACGACTCACTTCCCATGTTTATCAAAAATACAATGTTACTTTAACGGAAAAATACGCAGAAGCAATTTCCGATTTAGAACTCCAGTTTGATTCGAGGTTCTAAGATTTAAAAAATAAAAGCTAATGAAAAGTTGTTTAATTTGTTTCAATTTTGATTTTAGCTGAAAAAGTCTCAGAAAATATGCAAATGGAGATCATTGGTTTACAGAACAATAGAATATATAAATATATAAAATTATAAAATATATATAAAAAAAAGAAAAATACAATAACGTTGAACTTTCAATTTTTTATTCAAAATATATTGACATGGAGACATATTCTAATCATTGAAACAACACATTAAAAATTATGTTTCTTTTTGGAAGTACTTACACTTGTAAGCATATTATATTTTCACGAATGAAAATTTTCAAATCGAAAACCAGAGCTTGGTTAACTAACATACACTTAGAAACCTTGCTAAGGACAGATCGTCTCAGATACAACCAAATATAGAAATATTAGTTAGTGAAAAACAATGTCAGTTATAAAACAAAATATAAAATAAATAATTTGTAGTTCAAAATTGAAATATGTTAATCTATATATGTTTTAATAATAATAATATTTTGTAATTTAAAATATAATCTTAAGAATAATAAAACTGAATTTTTGTATAAAATACACGTATTTACTATGAATGCGGCCCGCGAAATTTGTAGAAAATAATATGTGGCCCGCTGCATAAAAATGAACGTTTCGGTTTTTTTTCTAAAAACTCTAGGTGGGGGCTAGCGTGTCCCTAACACCCCTAATTTAAAATGAATGTAACTTTGTTATGCTTTTTGTACAAACGATAGAATTTGTTATATACTCTGAACAAGGACCCCACTTTTTAAAAAATGTATAACACCCGCTATGACGATAATAATGCTTAAACAAAATTAAGTAGCTATAAAAAGTAGTTATAAGTAGTGAAATAGTTAAGTACCTAGTATAAGTTATAGTTAAGTAGTTACAAAATTAGGTAAATAATTTATGAATATTTTATTGAAATAATTGCTTTATTTATAGGAGTAATTCAAGGAATCATCGGAACTGTTTGTGTGTGCTCGGGATTCATTTCACCTTTAGTCGTGGGATTTTTGACCTTCCATCAGGTATTTACTCATCACGCAGTATATTACACATTCTGTACTATGCTTTGGAAAATTAGAATCTGTCAGTTAATATAATTAATTTTTCTTATTGCTGAGTAATATATTATTGACCATCGTTTTAGAAAACTATTATTTTGATAATAACGGGGGGGAATATAAAGATGAAGTAAAATAATTGTTGTTAAAATAATTATACCATTTTATAATATAATTGGAAATAATAAATTAATTTCAATTGTATTTACGGCTCGCCTATAAAAAAAAAATAAAACCGTTTTTTAAATTCTAATAGTCTAATTTAATTTAAGGGGTGGGGTTGCGATTTTTGAACATTTTTATGAGGGTCGTAACTACTGAATTAGTTCAAAACATTTTCACTGTTGATCTAGAATATTTTCAAAGAATTCATTTTTCTCTCTCTATGGATATCAGATAAAATATTATAACAATATGTACAACTAAAAATAATTTTTTATATTCTTATATAGGTCGATTTAATATCTGTTTAAGTTGTATTGTATCGTATTTTTAGGAACTTTTTGTAGGTCTTTTTTGTAGACATTTTAAAAATGTATGAAATGTTCAGCATCAAATAAAAAATGTCTGTGCGCATGCGTGTGATGTATGGATGTGTAGTTAAATCTATTTTCTAAAATATGTATTTATATCTAATTATATTTTTCAGCAAACGTTAAATCAATGGTGCAAAGTGTTTTATTTATCAGGAGCAATATGTATTAGTACAGGGTTAGTTTACATATTTTTTGGAACTTCAAAAGTACAAAAATGGAACGCATACGATGATTCAGCCGCGAATGAAAAAGAAATGAAACTTATGAAACTAATCTCTAAGAATCCCAAAAATGTTATCAATTCTAAATCTTAAACTGTTAATACATTTTTTTTTATACAAAATACATATAAATATATAAGGAACTCGATTAAAACTACGTTTTTCGTTGTTTATAAATTAATGCTAATTTTATGATTCTATACAAAAGTGTACAGATTTTATATTATACTAATTTGATAATTTAAACAGTGTAAGTACGCCATTGTAGTAGTTAATATGAAAAATATATTTTTATTTGAAACTCGGAAATGTTCATAATTTTTTAGGTTATATTATTATGTAATATACGATTATTTAGTTATTAAGATTTTATTGGTAGCATTAAAACTATTAAACATATCAAATAATCGTTGAGAATCTTTAGAATCTTTATATTTTTTTAAAAATACAACAGAATAATCGATTTGATTAAAAACAAGTTTGTCGACATTTATTTTTGACTTTTTAAATGCCATGCAGGTATGGCTGGTGCCGATATGCAGATACTGGGCAAGTTGAAAAACGATCCGTCCAAAGTACGAATCAAATCGAATGTTTTCACTTGAAAAAAAAGCTAGGCATCGTCGCATATGGGGGCAGCCACTGTTGTAGGTGAGAAGTTCGGAAGATAGTAGAGAGGACATTTAATGTATATCTGTAATGTGAATCATTAGTCTAAAAAAAATTAGATCACTTATTTTATTCTGCAAACAAATATACACAGGTAAATAATAAGCATTCATCAAGTTTTTTTTGCTTAGCTGATAGCCGATAAATGACTTTATCAAACAAACGGTAAACAGTTGATAAAATATTATTTGATTAGTGAAATAGCAATATGTTTCGTTATAAAATAATAATTGATTTTGATCTACTTTAAGATTCTGAGTGGAATAAAGAAGTTTATGGTTTTACAAAAATCAAGGTACTAGATTTTTCGTTGGGGCAGTCGAAAGGTTTTTTTTTTTATCGGTGCACAACTTTTGTACCAGAAATTTTGCTCAGATTTTTAAGTGTAGCACCTTCTCTGAAAGAGAATCGGACTGCGGAAGTACTTTAGAGAGGTAATTTTTTGGCAGGCTATTCGATGTTGACTTATGATTCCTAACCTTAAAATATGTCTACCCGGCAGCTTTTTTTCGGCAGCACAGTTTTTTCCCCATTGTATAGGCGGAATGATAAAAAGTTGTCCGACCTTATCTCCTAAGACCGTGATATTTATAATATTTATATCAATAAAGATAACAAAACCCCCGATAGTATTATTCGATAAAGTAACTTACAGCGAGGATTAGAGCGTTAGTTTTAAATTGATAACAATATTTAATTTTATTTCTTGCCATTTTTACGTAACTATGTTTCAGTCATTCGGCGAATTTCGTAACTTCGTAATTTTTTTAAATTAGGTAAAAGTTCGAGCGTAACTTGTGAACATTTGCATCAAGCTATTGGAGATGATGTTTTGTCTCGATCAACATATTTTGAATGGTTTAAACGGTTTAAGGATGTTTCACGCATCACGCACACTCGTTTTTCTGCTATTGCTTCCATTACGAAATTCGCCGGATGACTGAAACATGGTTTGGTAAAAATGCCAAGAAATAAAAATAAATATTATTATCGATTTCAAACCAACGATCTAATTCTCGCCAGAATTTACTTTATCGAATAACATTATCGGGGTTTCATTATCTTTATTTAAATTTTAAATAAATATTATTAATATAGTAAGGGTATTATTTTACAATTATTATTTACAATAATATTAGGTCTCTACCTAAATTTCAACGATTGAATTATCGAAATAATTTAACCTAAACAATAACTGCATAATATAATAAGTACAGCTAATATGCTTTAGTTCGTGTATTGCTACTGCGTGTAAGTTATCATGATAATTTAGTAATTTATTTTGACTTTTAAAGACGAATAAATATTCCCGATAACGAAAGTTATTGTTATGAATTTATGAAGTTTAAAAAAATATTCCAATAAAAAAAAATCACTATTTGTATACAGTTCTTAAACGTGATGTTTCAAAAAAATAAATACTTTTCTCGAAATAAGATTTATTGAAATCGTGTTTTATTTACGGTAATGCATAATAATGATAATGATAATAATATTAAAATTATACACAAATATATATTTGTATATATATATATACACACTTCAATTTTACAGTAAGATCATAAAATAGTAGGTATCCAAACAAATATACGTATTATTTAATATTATAAACGCTAAAGTATTTCTGTATGATTGCGACCTTTTCACAGCAAAACCGTTTAATTGATGATCAAATTTGGCATGTATACAAATATTATAATATTTATACAGGTATACTTTATTTTTGTTAAAACAATACGTTTTAGACATTTTTTTTTTTTCCAGTAACCATAGTATTTTTAATCATAGGCGTAGTCATTTTTCAGCTATTACAATAAAATCGTGAATCATTATTTCCATTATTTTCCTATGTCTTTTTTATTATGCAAAAAAACATACAACGAATTACTGTGTGTAATATATAAAAAAAGGTACGTACAATAACCCATTGTTATGGTTGAATAAATTCAAATTCTGATTTTTGGAATTTGAAATGCAATGGACGACAATATTTTTGCATAATTAGATTTTCACAACATTTAATGTTGTGAAAATAACGTTGGTTTTTCAAATAAAAACGTATATGTGTAAATTAGTGATTCTTTTGGATAATGTTGACGTGTTGTAATCGAATTTGAACGCAATGTTTCTGAGTTATTCTGCTTTAAATACTAAGGATTATAGTCTTTTACGGAGATTGGATACCAACTGTTCAACGTGTATAAATAATTTCTTGTTTTGAATCGTGCAGTTATTATTCTTTATTATATAAAGTAGAATAACTCGGACATTTTTCGTTCAAGTTTCGATTAAAATGCATCAACATTTTCAGGCAAATCATCTGATTGACAATTTGAATTGAAACATACTCATTTCTCATAATCTCATTAGAAAAACCAAAGTTGGTATTTTCACTCTTCAAATGTTGTGTAAAATCGTGTAAAATATCGTCTTCCACTGCACTAGAAAATTCCAAACTTGATGTTTGATTAAATGTATAATTTAATCATAAAAATAGGGTAAACACTGAGCGTGTTTAAAAAATTACTCTGTTTATTCTTAAAAATATTTAATGATAACATAATGGGGGGATACACCCCCTCACCCCTCCCGCGCGATGTTTGATCCCTCCCTCTACACCCGTCAACAATATCAGCCTTTAATTGCCGCGTTAAACAAAGTATTATTCGTTTTTTATTACGTAACGATTAGGTATATATATTATGTTTTTACAATCACATTATCATTAGTTAGGTTATACGAACTTTGTTATGCATGGAAGTAATAAATATAATTGCATCTCGGTATGTACCTACAATGTATATATGATGTTCACGTAAAATAAACAATTAAATCATTTTTATCGCGGCCGTTAAATAGGTAGGTAATATTAAAAACACTTGTGAAAACAAGTTTATTAAGGAACACACACACATACGTGTACCTATCGGCTTTTCGAGTATTACAATTTACACTATTCAAAGGTAAAAAGATTAAAGATTCGCGGGTATCTTAATAATTTTTTTTTTTTTTTTGCTCTTCACATAATCCACGGTAAGCAATAAATTCAGATATTGCATTAATATTATTCTATCGTATTCGCGAATACATCACCTATGTCAACAGTATTATTTCAACCATTGTGATGGTTTATTCGTGAACGTTAAAAAGTGATCGAGCGGATACGTCACATCATTTCCATTCCAAGTTCCTAACGTTTTCAACATGCAGAGTCAGTAAATTATTACATACGATACTAACTTTAATAAAAAAATAATTAAAAATAAAAACTCGAATAAGGATAATGCCAATTTGATAATATTTTTAAGAAAAACGTGTGTTTAACTGTTAATCGTTCGCATTCGTATTTATAAATAAACTTATGATTCTTTATTATCGAGTAGTATCATTTTCTTATTAACTGTTATCGTTTGTATGTGTTATGTGATTTCAGAAAGAACGATATTGTGGTATATGACGTTTTGGGGTTTCGGGATGAACTTTATGCTTCGGATGAACTTAAACATAGCAATAGTGTCTATGGTTCGGAATTCCGTGAAAACTAGCAACGACAAATTCAAAACCGAACTTTATGAAAACTACAGTTTTGCGAACGCATCTTTATCAATCAACGCCAGCGCACATAACAACGTAAGTATAATGTACCTATACTGTTATCAATTTAGTAAATATTAATACATGCACCTACAAATAAATGGATATAAATATTATTACGTAAACAAAAACGTTTGGTTTATGATATTCACAAACCGAACATTTGCAATAGGTACTGTTATAATTGTTAATTATTGGTTAGTATAGAAATTCGTTAAGTTTTACAAGAAAATGCAAACGCAAAAGAAAGGTTTTAGGTTTAAATAAATTTGATTGCTTCCACTTTTTTCGAAATTAATATGAGTTGACCCTCCCCAAACTGCTATTCAAATGCTATGTACGCCCTCATGTAAACTGGACGGTTTTTTTTAAAAAGAGTAAAAATCGTAAAATATGTAGTATAAATGAAAAAACAGCATGGCCTGCAAGCTGAACTAAGTATTAATTTTATTGTATTTACAATGCATTTTTAAACCGAAGATAAGATTATGCACTATATAACTACTAAGCTAGGTAGGTATATTATATAGCACACGGTTTATTATTGTATAATAATTTATTTGGTTTACTTCTTTATCGGATTTAGTTGGACTTTGAACGTTCGAATAGCCACTATAATTAATGTTATTAGCCATTTAATAATAGGTACGTAGTTACCTACGGTAGGTATTGCGTTTGTCAATATAAACATATTAAATAATGTTGTTTGAATATACAAAGGTCTCTGGGTCTCTGGCATTGTCCACGCGTGACCATAATAGTAGACCCGGGATTTATTGCACTTACAACCCATAAAAATTTGGTTAAGGGGATTGGAAGCGACGAATTTCTATCTTTGTCTTACACACGTGGGATGTAGAAATTTAGACGTGTTTTAATTCCAACGTACCGTTTGAACTAGTGAAGTGATACGAATTCTGGAAACAGATTTGAATTTGTCGTAAAGTCTATTGGAGATCGACTTTCCCACTTTTTAAATTCATCTCTTTAAATTCTAAAAAAGCTATACTAATAAAAGAGTAATTGAAAAAATGGAATATTTTAATTTTTTGATAAATTAAAATCAAAAATCAAATAATTGGAAGAGTCGATCTCAAATAAACTTCACAACAAACTCAAATCTACTTTTATAATCTTTATCGCCTCACTAGATAAATTGGTACGTTGGAATTAGAAACTCGTCGCTTACAATCCCCTTAAGAACGTCAAAAAATCCCCGAAAATATCACTCAAAAAAAGCAAAAATAGTAAAAGCGTTTAAAAGTCCGTCTAAATCGATTCATAATTTAATATATACAATTGTTTACTGTGTTAAACAATTTTAGTGCACTAAAAAAACGATTAACATAGAGTAATAATTATGTTTATAATATGTATGTATACGTTTAGTTTTATCAAAAAAAAAATAATTGCTTTGTATTAATTGTGTAATGTTAGAAAAATTGTTTTTACCGTTTTCAAAATGTTACGACTCAACGTGCAGGACCGTTCAGTGTAGATATCTGCCGCAGTTAGATACTATTATAGTTTTGAATTTAATACTAGATTATATGAATTGTTTTATTTTACATTAAAATTAAACATGTCATACATGTGATGTTTAATGAAATATTTCAAAAGTATAAGTTTCATGCAATTTTAGAACACTAAATATTATAATATTCACGGGGCTTATATATTACTACAGTATTATTAAATCAACATATTTCATAAAACATATATGTACATAAACGTTTTTATGTTTGTTGATAATGAGATTATATGAGATTGACTATAATGCGTGTGATATTATGTGAAATTAAAATTGTTCCGATAAGATTATAGGTACCTACCTAATACATTTAGTTTAGGTTCAAGGTTATCGTTGCCCAATTTAATACACCTATACTAAATTATATTTTTTAATTTTTTGGTTCACGTGTCTTGGTTTTAAACTAAAGTATAATACGTTACAATCAAATTACACTGATTTGAATACCTATCCATTACCGTATTTAGGAGGAAGGTGGAGAGATGTATCTTCTTGACATTTTATTACTCACTATCATTAATATAACTGCCAGCTATTTTTCAATTCAAATTTATTTATTTTTAATGAAAATAAAAAAAGACGGATGTATATCTGTAAGCAATAATAAACCATTGCCAACAAAAGAACGATTCTGAGCGGAGTTCAGTTGATAGTATTGCTTTCTCAACATTATAAATATATATATATATATATACTATGTCATATAGTAAAATGATTACAATTATGAGTATTTCCATGACAACAATGATTATTTGAAAAAGATTTAAAATAATAAAAACTTAATAATTACAAAAAATAAATAAAAACGGTTGATAATGACAACCTTATTTTTAATCTTTCAATCTTTTTTAACCTAAAGAACCAGGTTTTCCTCATTATCTCAAATATTAATGAGAATTCCAAAAAATTACCTCTTCAAAGTACCATCCAAAGAACATTTCCTTTCAAAAAAATGCTATACTTGATAATCGGAGTATGCTTTCTGGTAGAAAGTGTTCACATAAAAAAAAAAAAAACATCTTTGAAATACCAATACATTTCTCATTCAATATGAAATAAATCATAAATTTATGTGTTTGTACTTAGGTACCTATAGAATTGAATAGATCAAAAATACCCGAAAGTAGACATTTTCTTGTTTGAAATGGAACTTATATGCGAATTTCGAAGCACACTAAAATAACCACCTTTATTCTAAAGTTAAGTATGTATATCTATAGTTGTTTGATCTGAATGATAATTTTGAGACAGGTCAAATTATAAATTACTTTTTTGATATTTTTTGTTTTAGTCTGGGTACACGTTATACAATATGACAAAATTTTTCCAATTCAATAATTCCCTCATTGGTAAAATCCCAGATACGCCAATGTACCAACTGTCTTTGATTTCTGTGATAAATGTGTAATGTTGTGTTTTCATAATATTATGAATTTATACAGAATTATTCTGAGTACTTGGTATTTTGTATCAAGAAAAATTAGTTATGTTATAAATAGTTATATTTATAACATAACTAATTTAATAACGGGGCATTCGTTGTTCGAGACGGTTTCAAATATTTTTTACAATCGAAACCTTTCAATACGTATTAAAATATAAATTCATAAATAAAACAAATAATAATTTATTGAATATTCGATTCGAAAATATTTCATTTCTAAAACCATACAGACTTTTAAAGCCGATGCTCTGACCGCGTAAAGAAGTTATTTTTTGAAATTCTTGAGATAATGAAGAAAATCTTGGTCTTTAGGTTAAAAAAGATATACAATAAGAATAATTAAAAATAAGGTTGTTATTAGTAAATGTTTTAATTTATTTTTTGCTATTATTAAGGTTTTTATTATTTTTATAATTTTAAATCTTTTTTAAATAATCATTGTTGTCATGGGAACGCATATTGTTGTAATCATTTTACCATAATATGATATATACCATATATTGTATTGTTGACAAAGTAACACTATCTACTTAACTCCACTCAGAATTGTTTTTTGTTAGCAATGGTTTATCGTTGCTTACAGATATACATTAAAAAGCTTTATATATCCTTCCTTCCCTACTTCCCATCCAATAGTTGAACTCCCATTAGTAGTATTAGCTATTATCGTTTTAAATGTATGTATTTAATCCGATAGTGTAATCAGAATCCAGATGGCATAGGAAATTTTTGAATAAATAACAATAGTACACCATTACCGCAATTGTTTACTACTATGTTTCCACATTATTTGTATTTGGTTTCATTTCTTTTATAACTTGGAAATAATGGTTCCCCATAAATTTTACTTTTCTTTCGAACATTTGTATACCTATTGGATGGACAATTATGTCAAATGAAGTGTTTTGGTAACATAAAAGAAAAAATCCACACTTGAAGCTGTAGTTATTTTCGAGTATTTTTACTATTACTTTAAAAGTACGAGCGACCATTTTTGAAGACACCGTTAGATTCATTATTAAAAAGTACATTCTGAAAAAAAAGAAAAGAATAGCGCTAGGCAGTAAACTAAATGTATTTAATTTGTCTTTAGAATCACGTTTTCGAATGGGACGAACATCAACAAAACACCGTCATGGGAGCATTTTTCTGGTTGCACATGGTCTTGCAAATTCCCGGCGGGATGTTGGCACAAAAGTTTGGCGCCAAGTCCATATTCGGTTTTAGCAACGGTTTGGTCGCTCTTCTCACGTGCGCTATTCCCGTCACGGCAAAAAACAACTTTGTTGCTTTACTAGTATTGCGAGTCGTCCAGGGGCTCGTTGCTGGAACGGCGTGGCCAGCGATGCATTCGATGACGGGCAAATGGATACCAGCCGACGAGAGAAGCCGTTTCGTGTCAGCTTATTTAGGTATATTTATAACTGTTATGAAAAAAAAAATGTTAATAATATTATTTATGGACTCACCGTTAGCTATAGCCACAATTATGTTATAAATGGTCAAAGTCAAATCGAATCAAAGTCAAGGGGATTGGTAACGACTGACGATATTTCGACTTTAGTCGATTTATACCTAAAAGCCAGACAGAACTGAAGGAAGATGTTGTATTTCAAAGATTTCGATTTTATAATTAATTTGGTTTTTTTTTACTAGATTATAGTAAAAAATGATATTTCATTATTTAACTGAAAATAGTGAATAAATTTGATGATATTTTTGAAACATTTTCAAAAATGCACTTAAACAATTTTTCTTTTTACTGACGATTAAGATAATTAAAAATAAAAAATAATTCTAATGTATCTTAGTAATGAACACTAAGAATTATAAAACGTTTTCAAAATTGAAACCCATCAAACGCAATTCGTACAGTTTTGTCTAAAACTTTTTATTTGTTCGTAGTACCGTCCGTACACCTTCGTCTTAAATCGGAATCAGTAGATAAAATTATCTAAAATCGTGAATTTTAAAAAAAAAACAAATGAATAATTATGAACAAACATTTTATCTTACACTGATGATAAGGAAAAATGAGTAAGAAAAATAATTCTCGGATGATACAATTGAAAATAATTCAAATATTTGTAAAATAAAAAAGACGGAAATACTTCGCGTCATGGGTGGGCTATTGTTGTAGGGTAGAAGTTGGGAAGGTAAAGGGGAAATTTAATGTATATTAGCCATTGCTAACGAAAAACAAATCTGAGCAGAGTTAAATTAACAGTGTTGCTTTGTCAACAATATAATATATATCAAATTATTATGGTAAAATAATTACATATATATTATATATTTTCTTTAATAATATTTGTTAAAAACAGAAAAATTGAAACAATTTTTTTTTTGTTTTGCCCTGTTTTCACTATGCTTTCCCATTTTTTGGGAAAACTCCTAGAAAAATAAAAAAATGACTAATAAAAGAACCACCTTAGTAATATTTCTTTTCAGAAAAAGTGCTTAATTGAAAATTGGAGCAAAATTTCTGATAGAAAAGTTGTCTACAAAAAAAAGAAAATAAACATTATTGTATAAAATTAGAGGTTGAATTTTTTATATTATAATTGATTGTTTAATTACGGAACTGGATAAGAGAAAGAACTGAATTTTAATTTAATTTAAGGACCCCATCAAAAAATTAGCACCGGATCACAAAATTGTTGAGTTGGGCTTTGAGCACCAGACTGGAACTTATTACTTCTAAGTGTCATGTAATGAAGTTTACTCGGTATCATAAATCTGTAGATTTTCGTATTCTGTAAATGACAATAATCTACAAACCTCTGGCGATGTTGTAATAGATTTTGGTATTACGTTTTATCGTCGTCTATGCTTTCATTCACATATTGAAAGAGTTACTTGTAAGGCTCTTAAAATGCTTGGGTTTATTAAGATAATTTCTGTTGGTTTTATGCATTCCAGTTAGTTCCCTTTAGGCCATCTATTATTGATTTATTTGTTCTCACTTGGAATATGGCGGAATAATTTGGATTCCTATAATACATTTAGTGACCAATGCAAAATTGAGCGTGTGCAGCGTAAGTTTCTGAAGCATGCGACTTTTGTCCAGACAACTATTCATAAACCGCACGATTACGCGCTAGTGCTTCAGGAGCTAAATCTGCTGACACTAGATGTAATAAATTGTATTTTAATTTCGTTATTATGGAAAGTTTTTGTAATTGTGCTAGCCCTTATGTATATTTAAAAAAATAAATAATAATAGGTTATAATTATAGATTTGTTTTTATCGTGAATCTGCAGCCTTTTTCTCAATCGGTGTTAATTTACTAACTCTAAATTCTGAAGTATATATAGTTATATGCAATATTATCTATTGATTTCTACTACTATTCATTTTTATAATAAGTATAGTAACATATTTTTATTCGATGGTTTTTTAGTTTTTGTTTTATTCTTACAAAAATTTCAATTTGTATTTTATATAGTTAATTAATTCAACTGCACACGAGTTACGGTCGTTGGTGATTTTTAAAATAAGCAGATAGAGCAGTTGCGGTCATCATATTTATAGCGTATCTCCGAGTTGCGGTTACGTGTTAAAATGTTCGAATTATTCGATAACTTTGTACATTTTAGAGCACAACATTTTCAAAGTGTGTTGTTAATATGCTTTTAAAAATAAAACTCGATATTGAAATTATTGAGTAAAACGTCAAGTTTAACTATTATCAATATCATTTTTGATTTCAATCAAGAAATACAATTTTCTAGCGCAACAAATTCGTTATTATGAAAAGGGTGAAATAAATAGACTTAAATACGTAAAATCAATTTACTTTAAATTTGTATTCTCTGAATTTTAATATAATTTTACATGTATGCAATAACATTTTAGTTTTAATAATTTTATAAAACAAACATTTTTACCCGTACCTACACAATAAATAAAAGTGTAGACAGTTCTAAGTCTGTTATAAATGGGAAGGGAAATGTTTAATACCTGGTAGGAAAACTTTTTATTGGGTGACCGCAGCTAGTAGTTAACTTTTTTATTAGGCGATTGCAACTAGTAGGTAACGTTGTTTTAAGTGACCATAACAAGTATGTATTTTTTGATTTTGACCACAACTAGTAAACACCGATCAATTCCTATACGTACATTTTCCCATAAAGAATAGTTTTAAAAATGTCTGTTGAAAAAATGTAAAAACTATACGATTTCCTAAATAGATAAATAGATACAATTATCATAGTAAACAGTTATATGTTTTTTGATTTTACAAAATAAGTAGTAATATTAATTCAGACACTGCCGGGTAAAATAATCATTAACATAAAAAAATATTACCTTGAAAATACATAGTTCGAAAATAAAAATAAATCACTCCGTAAACGTAATAATTTACAATACCTATACAATGTACTCTGTATGTAAAAAAAAAAAAAATAAATGTTTCCTAATTATTTTGTGTTTATCGCGTGTGTTGTGCAAAGGCAGCTCTTTTGGGACGGCTATGACTTATATGGTATGCGGTTATCTCATAGAATCGTTGGGCTGGGAGAGCGTATTTTACATTACAGGATTGATCGGTTTGCTTTGGCACGGATTATGGACTTATCTTATATACGATACGCCAGGCATTCACCCGACCATCAGCGAGAAAGAACGAAAATATATAGAAGACAGCCTCGGCAACGACGTAGTGAAAAACGTGTCGGTGCGTGCACAAATTAATACAAAATAATTTTAATGTGTTTAAAAATCTTGTTTTCATAGTCTAAAATACCGTGGAGATCGATAACCACGTCCGTGCCTTTAATAGTGAACATCGTGTCACAAATAGGTTATAACTGGGGAATGTATACGCTGTGCCTTCAAGCCCCAACGTATTTCAAATTCGTGTTGGGTTTCGACTTGAAACGGGTAAGTATAGATCTCTATCTATACAAGTTTATCTATTTGAGCCGCACTTAATATTGTTTTCAATTCTATACATTGTCTTCTTCCTATTTCTAATTATTAAAACCTACGTCTTTTCGGAGCCGCCATCGACCCATTATCCCCAAAATATCAACAGACCACACATAAACTAATCCAATCGTCGGGTCCAATAACCTTTAGAACCAAAAACCACCAATCCAATTCCTGCAAACATTCAGTCTGGCAGTTCAAAATAAACTGCACGATGTCGCGCTATTTATTATATAGTCTTTACTCTTTATCAATATCTTTTCTCTCTTATTATTCTAAATAATCATGCATAACATTATAAAACGTCCTCTAATACAATATGTCTACATCTACAGAGCGGAGTTAAAGGGAAATAGAGGGGGGGGGCATCTGCCACCGGGCGAAAAGCGCAAAGTTTTAACAAATCATTTAGAGTGAAAAATCTATTAGCGATTACGATAATGTACTCGGCACGCAAACTCACATACGCGTTTCCGTGAATTTACCCATATCCGAATTACAAGTAATAACTACAGTCACAGTGTCCACGCAATAATAATAATTTTATTATTAAACGGCTATATAATCTAGATAACATTTCCACCTACAACTGCGAGCGATCATTCAAACGTATAAAAAAAGATTGTGGATTTATCAATCTTACGCGATAAACGCAGTACGAGCGAACGATTAAATTTAAAAACAAATCAAATATAAACCAAACACACGAAATGTATTGACAATTTTGGGGAATAAAAAGCTGAATAGTTTAATCCCTATTACTGAAATTGCATTACGATTTTATTATATTCTGCCTACTATATCTAACTGTTCCTGCGAAAGATCGTTTTCAGCCTTAACAAGAGTCAAGAACTATTTGCGATCTACTCTTTTAAAAGAAAAATTAAATTAATTTGCTATTCTTAACATTGAATATGTTTTGCTTGTATCTATTTCATGGGATGAATGTATTGACCAATTTGATAAACAGAAATCAAGAAAGCATTTTTAGAAAAATATTATAAACAACAAAAGTAAAATAATTTGCTTACATAATAAATCCCAGTTTTTTATATAGGTAATCATTTTAATTAACTAATTTAATTTTAATTTGAATCATGTTTACAAAATTGTTATTTTAATAAATGCGTTTACATTTGTATTGAAACATTCATATTGTTTGTTAATTTATAATATAGTACCTAATATTAAAATGATTGTTAACATATTATTTCATTATATTTTTTATATATTTTAATAAAATGCGTGGTAATTAAAATACTAATTAAATGAGCATAGGTTGAACAATTCTTAGGGGGCAGAGGACTCTATACTAATCCACCGACCATCCGTTAGTTAATACATTTAATAAATACTAAATTATAGTAAAACAATTTTATGTTTATAAAAAAAAAAAATGTTCTGAATTTTAGGTAGGTTTGTGCTGGTGCGTAAAATGTCTTAATCCGGCCCTGCGCATCTATATCTAAACTACTTCTCTTCTCCTAACTTTATCTAATATCTACACACACGTTATACGATAGTAGTTAAAATTGTCCAAAGTATACCAAAGTAAAAAACAACTATCGACTTGTATTTTTATCTAGATACTTATTATTATAATAATACTGGTGTCGATGTCTGGCTTTTGTGATTGTATGCAAGCTAATACGCGAATTGTACAAATCGTATATTTACCTACTGTGTGTATAATGTCAAAAACTGAATGTCTACAGACTGGCTTTTGGTCGGGCATCCCGTACCTGTTCCTGTGGCCGTTTTCGTTCACGTTCGGTTGCGCGTGCGATTATCTAATCAAAGCGAACATCATGTCCATAACGAACGTACGGAAATTGGCGTGCGTTTTCAGCAACATAGTCCACGGGCTGTTCATACTGACCCTTTCGTTTGCTGGGTACAACGACGTTTTAGTCATATTCAGTATGGTCTCGGCCGTGGTCGTGAGCGGCGCAATATCTTCGGGAGCGCTTCCCGGCATCGTGGACCTGGCCCCGAATCACGCGGGCGTCCTGCAAGGCATAAACGGGACCATCGTGAATTGCTGCATTAGCATTTCGCCGTACATCGTAGGATTGATCACTTTTCAACAGGTACAGTAAAAATTCCCGCTCCAAAACTTCCATTTTTTTTTTTTTTATCTATAAGAAGATGCGGTTGCCCATCAAGCATTTTGTTTAGATTACCAACAAGTTTTCTAAAAAATTTTTTAAAAAATGATACCCGACAATAATAACGATCAGATACGCCCCGATCACAGATATTTGAAATGTTCAACACGCGCGGGCGGACAAATAATTATGGGACGGGCTCAATATGTGATCTACCTCGAAATTTAATCTATATTCAACACTGTTTTCCACAAAATAATTAATATAACATAGTAGTTAAATGATATCGATATTGTGTTAATGTTTAATAAACACTAACACAAAGTCTTGTATCATTTTATGATCGGTGCTATAGTAGTCGCATTAATTACGAAAAATAATAAATGAAATTACTCTCTTTTATCAGTTGTCAATACTTTTACGGCACGGAAGGGGGTTTATACAAGGCAATTTTTTTTATTAAACCTATCGTGGTTTAGTTATTAAATATGGTAAACTAATACAATCGTGCAATCGTAAACCAAAAGGGCCCGCGCGCTTAAATTTTGAATTTCCCGTTTTCGAGGTCATCGTTTTCATAAAGTTTGTCCACTCCGGGCGTAAGAAGTACCGAAATATTACAAAACGGTTTGTGTATTTATTATAAAAAAAAAAAAAAAAAAAAAAAAAACTATTTCATAGAAATATCCGACGTCGTAGTACCTGGTGCGTTATACATTTGCATATACCAATTTTAAAATGTTTTCATCAATTCCATGTAAAAATAAATATTATAGATAGAGTAATAATTGAATATTCGAACGATTATTTTTATTTTATTTTTTCACTTTTAGCAAACCATCGAACAGTGGAAAAAAGTGTTCGTCGTATCGGCAACAGTTTGTTTTATAACGGGAATTGCGTTTTTGTTATTCGGAAGTTGTGAAATACAAAAATGGAACAATGACGAACAAAAAGATAAAAAAGAAATTAAACCTATGGTATGAACATAATATTATACTTGCCGAAATAAGTCTGCTTGCATATAATATTATGTAGTTCCTACAAGATAACACAATTCAATTTGAGTTATGATCACGTATACTCGTAATAGTCTCAACGGCTAGATCATTTTTTTTTGGGTAGGTATGTGATATAAATATATTATAATAAATATTATATTCTTTCACTAAGGTCTAAGATAAGTAATATGTTTTAACTACACATTGTATAATATGTGTATATGTAAATGTACATAACATATATATTTCATATCTATATGTGCTGGTTTGATTAAATAATGATTATTGAATTGAAGTACATTTTAATGTAAATGATTTTAATCTGTTATAATAATATACTACACACCTAGACCAAGGTATTAAATACAATTAAATATTACTGTAAAAATCATATACTAAATACAGGGTGTTCTACAGTGGTCAATATGTATTTTCGTCTTTGCATTTTTTTTTTCAATTGGGTTTTTCGTCAGGGGGGCACAGATGTAGAGAAAAATTGAATTTTCATTTTCATCCCTTAATCGTTGAAATAAAATAACTTTATTTTTTCATTTTTTAAATTTTCAAAACGGCCAATTTGAAAAATATATTATTCTAGAGTTATTCGAATAACACTGTAGAACCACCATGTATAAGTATATCACACACATCAATTCAAGTGGAATGCCGGGTCCACACTGAGACGAGTAAGTAGTGCAAGAGTACTAGATCGAGTTCTCAATTTAAACCAACATCATCATTTTGTTGGTTCATTAAAAGTTTATCTACTCCTTGTGCTTCCTTTTTTTTGCAAAGGTAGCCTTACCCAAAAACCGTATTTTCTATTTATTTTTTTCATTGTTTCAAATAAATATACTTAGCGTCTAGCATAAATACATTTTCGTCGTCTTCAATATTTTTTCTATTTTCCACATTTTAATTTGTGTTAATTTACTATAAACAAAATGTTACTATAATTTTACTCTATTTACATACTTTTATTTATGTTTAAATTGCTTGACCTTCAGTGATTGAATAAATATCTGATCATTGAAAATGAAATTTACAATTTCGAAACAAACTTGTTTGGTATGTGTGGATACAGGAGAAAAAAAACAAAACACAAGAAAAATGTTTGAATTTTGTTCATATTTTGTTTAATTTTTAGTCAACTAAGTATGGACAGTATGTTTTGTTTGTGTTTGGTTCTTTTCAAACTAAAAAAGTTGAGTTCGTGTTTTGTTTTTGTTTTATTTCTGTCTTGTTTTAGTGTGAACTTGGCATAAGACACTCAATTTTATTTTATTTTATTTTTATTGTACTTACTTTATTATTATTATTATTTTTTTTTTATTTAAACGCATTGCAAATAGTCTCTACCTATACTTGTTTCAAAGCGTATAAAATATGTAATTTAGATATAATATTATATGTGTAATATTTTGATATTTTGCATTATGATCTCGTCTTGGTTATTTTTTCGTGTATGTCAGGATTTTTTTTTCAAATGTTAAATGAAACAGTATGCTATTTAGTACGATGTTTTAAATATTCCTATAAGGACACGGGTCGTTTTTTTTCTGAACAACAATAATCTGCATTACTATAGTAGGTAAACGCGATCCGGCGTGATATGGGACAGAAAAAAATGTAAGTGAAGAGTTCAACTGTCAGAAAAGTTAATTTTATACAGGTAGGTGTCGATACACTAATATCATACACTTGATGCTTAATGAACAGCTACTATAACGAAAATATAACAACAAAATATGTATAAACATTATTTCAGACTAAAAACCGCGAATGATACAAGAATGAATAAGCGCAGTAGCGCCACAGCCGAATACTACGTTCTAATTGATAATCACACTCCTTAGATTATCATAAACACGGTCTTAGAAGATAAAGTCTGTGTTATATATGCGGTAGCTTAGGGAGACAGATTAGTTGACTTTTATCAGAGAACGCTTTAAGTCTGACATTATTGTGGTTATGTTCAAAAGTCTAAAATTTGTTGGAAAATTAAGGTTTTTTTTAAAAAAATAATGAAATGACTTTTTCATTTTATGTTTATGTTTATTATTATTTATTGAACTAAAATAATTATCATAATTTTTGAACTATAAAAAATTCCGCTAGATTAGACATCATTTACGTTAAAATATAGTACGAAACTTTGGTCAAAAAGCTTTTTTGCGTATGCCGGATGATACTCAATACACCCATTAAATGACATAAAGAAAAAGACATCCTAGGATAACGGTCCCCATTATGGGTGCAGCCACTGTTATAGGTAATTTAATGTACACCTGTAAGCAACGATAAACTATTGCTTACGAAAAAACGATTCTAATTGGAGTTCAGTTGATAGTGATGCTTTGTCAACAATACATTGTATATTATATTAAAATAATTAAATAGTATCTATACATTTTCTTATTAATATTTGTTTAATGTTGTACCGATTTCACGGTTTTCCCATGTTTTAATCGAAAAACGACCTCTTTAAAGTATCCCCTCAGTCGGATTTTCTTTTAGAAACATTGCTTTCATTATAAATTGGAGCAGAATTTCTGGTAGAAATGTTGTTCACAGGAAAAAAAAAAAGGGCGAAGGCCGTAATATTTTTGACTAATGCACATACATTTCGTACATTTTCCCGTTTTTTTTTCGGTTTTTCACATTCGATGAGTAATCTTCTGAGAAAAAACGAAAAATGAATTCCTTAAAGTACCTCCTCAGTCCGATTTCCTTTCAGAAAATGTCGGAAAAATCGGAACAAAATCTCTGATAGAAAAGTTGTCCACAAATAAAATAAAAAATTAAACAAAACATCTTTGTAAAATCATAGGCTTCTTTGCTCCACTCAGAATCTAAAATGAACTTTATTGGTTAGGTCAATCGAAAATGTATACTAACATTTTTTATTCTACCGACAATTATAGATGGAACAGCATGTTTCTGTAATAATATTCTATTTTTCGTAATATAAAACAACATTTATCAAAATGATACGAACACACTAGGCTGGTCTGCTTCACATTTTCAGGGTTTAAGGTATTTACTAGTAAAAAGTTGTTCCGTTTTGCTCTCGTAAATTCTTTCGCCGGAAATCTGAAATAAACATGAATTAAAGGTTTTATTTTATTAGTTTTAAAGAATTACTCTTAAAACATAATTACAGTTTTTTAAAATGTATACCCGTGAAAAGTAATGCTTTAGATATTGCATTATCTGATCTACAGCAAACTATGTAACTCGGCATTTTAAAATAAAATTCAAACAAAATTTGAATTTGATTCAAACAAATTATTTCAGTAATCACAAACGTACGATTATTTATCACATACATATTATTGTACAATATTTTTTTTTATTAGAAGTGATTAGCTTGTAAAATACACACTGCGCTTCAACTCATGCTACAGGCGAGATGCCGAACCATAGAGTAATAGCTATTTTAAGTGCGGAACGGCCTCTATATATTACCCTATGGTATGGCCACACTCGCTCTATCAGGCACTCTAATTTTTTTTCGTTTTTTGTAGTTAATGTCTTTGGTTAAATCCTTAATATGATATTATCAATGGTAATAAATTTAAACTTGCCGGGATATTTGAAATACCGCATTTACCATCAGTTTTACCAACATCAGTAGGTAATCCATATCGTACAATATTTTTATTATCAATTATTATTATTATTATTTTTTTTTATCACTTTTTAATATTCTCAATTTTAATCTATGTTAAATCTATCTTAAAAAGTTATCGATGCGTAAAACAATTAAAACATCTTAAGAATATTACGATTTACGTTTTTTAAACGCTTTTTCGTCGTACAATATTTTACCGTAAGTACAATATTATTCTTATTGTTTTTGATAAATTCCATGTTACTGTAGGTATTTAACTAGGTATTTACTCCTCGAACCATTTTATAACTTGTTAGGGCAATTTAATAAATTGTTTGATAAAACCAAATCCAAAGTAGATACCTACCTACTTTGTATTTGTAAAAATCGTGCGCAATTTTTCCATTATTAGCCATGAGTTTATTTTTCAGCACACTGTAGGCATTGTTAAGTATCAATATTATATGTGCGATAACTATACATAAAACAAAGTGAAAACTTTTATTCAAACATTTGATATTTTTTCACCTTAATCAGTATGTTAGTGAAATTTAATAAATTTATTGATTTTCATAATAACTTGTATTATTTTTAGCATACTTTAATGTCTTGGAATAAACAGGTATAGTTCTCCATAGCTATTCAAACATGCATGTTGGTTATTAGAGTAACTTATTATGGTATCCTCTTAAATATGACAAACTTTTTATTTGCACATTGATTTATGTGGATCTAGGACATAATCACTCCAGACAAAATTCTCCCTTGAAAAATTCTTTCATTTTTTTCTATAAGTGTATATTTGGTCAATATTTCTTCATTTATCTATTAATTTTAAAGTTGTGTTTTTTAGAACTTTAATAAATTATAAAGAAAGTATACACATACAATTACTGATCAATTAAAAAAAAAAATTAAAATGTTAAAATGAACACAACTATGGTATTAGTAGTGAAGTTGTCTAAATAAAGAAATTAAAATGAAAACAAAATTTCACTGTGTTGTACAATCACGCATATTTACTAAAAGAATTAGGAAACAGGATAATGCTGTTATTGAAATTATGCTAATATATGGGGAGAATTTGTACACCCACATAGAATGAGTTGGAAAAGTTTGTATGGTGAAGATTTTGTCTATTTCCTGATTTGTACCGATTATTATTTTTCACCATTTTTTTTGGTTTGTTTTTTTTCCAGGTATCATATTTTGAGCTTTGCATGAAATCATTGTCATAGTTTATTGCCCATTCATAAATGGCCGCTTACATAAATCGCACACTTGCATATAGTAATTCAATGAACATTTCCCGTAATGTCTCCACTGATGAACAAATTTCTTCTCCGTTGCAGATTTTTGGCAAAGCCAAAAAGCAAATTAACGAGATATTTGTTGATATATTGTCTTACGTAGCCGAAGCATCTGAACGTATAAAAGGTAATTGTTATTAAATTTATTTTTAGGGATAAATTTATGTAATAAGTATGTTTGTGGTATATTATCGGTTTATTGATATAATTTATTATTTTTGATGAAAACTTACCGATCAAAATAATTGAAAGTTGTAAAAACATCTTTGAATTATTCATTCAATTAAAAAATATTGCTTGTTAATAAATTTCTATTGTTATCTTTTTTGTACAGATGTAAATGATAAATGTCCTAATGTTATCAACACCAATGAACTAAAATCTATAATAGATTATGAATTTAAAGTAAAAGGAATATGTGAAGTACTAACTCGTGATCATATGAAAGTTGCGTTCTTTGGAAGGTTTGTTTTTTTACTTCAGTTTTTGTTAAATATTTAAAATGTGTAAATTTAATTAATTAAAAACACAATTTGTACTATAAATATTTAAGAAAATATTATGCTCATATTTACTCTGTTAGTCTAACAAGTAAATTAGCAAAAAATATACTACATTTAGGAGGATGTTGTACCTGTATCTACTTCCTCAGTCCAATTACTGGGTAACATCCAAAAATAATGCTTACGCAGAATAAGTAAAACTAGCTTAATTTTGATTTTAGAGTAAAAGTATCAATTATTAAAGAATTAAATAATAATCTCTATATACTTCATGATATGTACTTGTCTTTTACTCTAAAATGAAAATTAAGCTAGTTTTACTTATTCTGCGTAAGCATTAATTTTGTATATTATCTGGTAGTTGGACTAAGACAGTAAATACGGGTATAATATCTTCTTAACATAGATTGTGCTGTTAAGGTTGGAATTGGACTTGAAACCCAAATAGTAAAATTTAATGAAGATCATCATTTTAAGTGCTTTTTGTAGTTTAAATTGTTATACAAAATTTTAATAGTTACAATCAAGTTAGTTTTTGCTTTTTTTAAGTAGCTGATTTTTGTATGACAATATTTTAATTAGTTTAGTTATACTGGATCAGTATTGGGTATAGCGTTATCTTAAGAACTATTAAAATTTATTAATATATTAACTTAAACATTTCAATATATTATTTTTGAGATTTTCAGTAAAGAGATGTTCAAATTTATTTTGTCTTTAAACAAATTATCAACAAATATATTAAAAGGTTCTTATTGATTTATACTTTGTATTGAAAAAAAAAGGTGTAGAACTACTCAAAATCGTTTTTCATTTGAAATGATTTATTATTGCGTATAGTAAAAAAAATTATTTTAATATATAAATAGAATAATTACAAATATTACTATTTTATACCTTCTAACATTCTACATTCAAGAATAAGGCACATATGTCGTATGCTATCTACAAAAAAAAATCATGTATAGAAAAATACAAACTTACGTTACTAACTGTCTCAATAGCCTGTTTGTTGACAGTTGTCCCATTTTAAAATAGCCTGTTTGTTAATATTTTTTCATGTTTCTTTAATTTTTTTTTATATTTCGTTAAAAACATTCAAAAAAATTTTTTTGATTGACAGATCTTCACCATTCTTCTTGCAATTGTCTTTCAAGAAGATTGGTCGCACCACTAGCTCTGATTCCATACTTCTCTTGCATGTGTTTCCATAAGCATTCAATAGTCTGTGTTTGAGCACGTGGATCTATAAAGTTTTTGCTGTGATTAACTGTTTGGTGAAGAAAACCATGATCTTTAAGAGAACTGTAAGCTCTCCATTCATCTGAATAAATTGTTGTTTCAGGTTCTAGTGTTTGGACAATTATGGGAAGCATTGTTTCACAATCTCTTTTATCAACTATAAAATATTATCTTGACGCAAGCAGCACATACTAAACACTCAAGTCCTTGAACACGATTTCTATTTTGGTTTTCAATATTTTGATTTTCTTCATCAGAATTATTTTCAAAATTAGAACAAGAACTTGAATCAGAATAGAAATTTTTATTATCATTAGGTCTATGATCACCAAGCTGTAATCTGCCTCTATTGCACTTTCGTTTTCCTTAGAAAAGAGGCTTGTTAATCTGTACGATGTATCCTTTATCTCCCATTTTTCGTCGATGTATAAACTATTCAATGACAACATATTGATACAAATTATACCAATTTGAGACTGTATGATGTCCTCTACTAGTAATTTTTTCTGTTTGTATATTTTTAAATTGATTTGCCCAGTACCAAACTAGTTTAATCATTTCACACAAACTTAATCCACCATTATTTTTTCCATTTCTATTGATATATGTATAAAATGGATTTTTTTTACGAATAGATTGCCATGTTTGACAATCTTTTTTTGACATCGTAAATATTTTGTTACAATAACATTTCTATTTAAGTCACATTTTGGCTTTTTTTTTAAAGTTTCTTCATTTCACTACCACATTATTCACCAACAAAATTTTCTTTGGTAAACAATTTTGTGTTAGTTAATATTTCATGATCTTTTAAAAATTTTATACAAATTTCATCATTTAATCAAATAATTTGTCTATATATATTATCTAAGATAATCCTATTTCTATATACCTATATAATCGTCGTTACTATCAATATGGACTACAGTAGATAACGGAATTACTTGTTGATAGCATACGACACCAAAAATTTACTTTTTCTCAAAAAATTCAATTTTGATTTTGTATGGTAGATATTTATAAATAAACAGGCATTGTACATAAATGTGTATTAATATTGAACTGCTAATAGAAAATATAGTTATCTAACAATATTTTTAGGACGAGCAATGGAAAGAGTACAGTTGTTAATGCTATGTTGGGAGATAAAGTTCTTCCAAGTGGTATAGGTCATACAACTAATTGTTTTTTACAAGTTGAAGGTTCTCAAAGTGGTGAAGCATATTTGGTTACAGAAGGTAGTAATGAAAAACAGAACGTAGAGGTAAGTTGGTATCTATACTGCGGCCCATGAGAAGAGGTACTCGTTTTGGGCATGCATCTGATTGTTTCCTCCTACTCGAACTTGTGTCAATAATAAAATTTAAATTTTCAAAATTATTTTATTACAATGACCTAATCATTTTTTTTATACAAATAACTAATATAAACATATATAATTACAATAAATAAATATGATTATCAATTTGATTACACTTACGAAATATAACTGAATTACATTAAAAATTCAATGAAAAGGAAATGGTGCATTCTAGCGTTAGCATGGTATGTGATTGGTGGGACTGGACAAACTCTGAAGAGTTTTATTCGAGACATGGGTTCCTTCTTTCGTGGGCAGCAGTATAGTTGTGTACTTAGATGTATACCTAATAGTTTTCTTATTATATGTATAATTTCTTATTTTTGTTTTTTTGTCTGCAGTCTGTCAGTCATTTAGCACATGCATTAAACCACGAAAAGCAGTTAAATGAGAAAGAATTAGTGCACGTCTATTGGCCTAAGGATAGGTGTGTTCTATTAAGAGACGATGTAGCCTTAGTTGATAGTCCTGGCGTAGATGTTACACCTCATTTGGATGATTGGATTGATAATCATTGTATCGATGCTGATGTGTTTGTTTTAGTTGCTAATGCTGAATCAACATTAATGGTTACAGTAAGTTATATGTTTATCAAATTAATGGTGTAGGCAGACATCATAAAATCCATCCAGTAGTTTTTGCTATGTATAATTCTTAATAAACACATTGGATGAAATTACATATGGATTGATACAGTAAATTGCTAAGTATCATAATTTGTTGAAGAATGTTTTCATTGTTCAGCATCATATTAAGTTTTCTCTTAATTTTTCTAAGCATCAAAATTATCTAAACTTTTGTACTAACATGTTTTTTGTTGCCGCTCTATTGATCAGTTCCCCTGTACACTTTTGAAATTTGGAAACTGTTGGGTAAACATAATTCTATTTTTAAAATGATGGTTTTACAACTATAGTATTAGTAAATTTATTAAGGTTATTTTTACATTGCATATTCATCATGATTGTTAAATTATCTATGTTTGTATTAAAAATTCAAAAATATATGGGTGTTCAATTCTAAATAAAAAAAATATGTTTAGACACAGTGCTTTTAAAATAATTGACATAGAATATATTTGATAGTTCTTGTTTTAGAAAAATTAACAAGACATATTTAAGAACTTGAATAGAAATATAAAAAATGATTTATTATTAATTATTAGTTGATTAAGTAAATCAGTTTTAATAAGTAATTTGAAATTTACAATGACTATTTTTGAGCAACATTTTAATACAATAATGTTAAAGGTAAAATATGTTGTTGAATGTTATATTTAATTTTTTTTTTCTAGGAGAAAAACTTCTTTCATAAAGTTTCATCAAAATTGTCAAAGCCAAATATATTTATATTGAATAACCGCTGGGATGCATCTGCTAATGAACCTGAATTTTTAGACCAGGTAAAATGTACTATTAATTTACTAGAATATTTACTTAACTTTTCTTTTCTGTTTGTTATCATCATTGCGTTCAGTTTAATAGCCAAGATCAGGTATGAAAAATTAATGTATTTTTTTTTATTGCATTTTACTTACACCTTGACTGTATATAAACACCAATATTGGCGTTATAAGGTTCGTTTAGCAATGTTTACAATGCCATTGCGTCCAATACACATATGTCATAATATAACGTACATATTTTAATATTCCCTGCATGTGGTTGACTGATATTTGCTTCTTAATTAGTGTCATTATAAGGTTATGAATTAAAAAGTTATGTATGCATTGACGTGAAAACTATAAAAAGATAAACACAGTCAACGTACAATTATAATTACTTAAAAAATGTGTGCTTTCAGTACCACAACACTGTATGTATTGGTTAGGGTGCAAGTCTATTTAAAAATTCTTTGAAAATGCCATTAATTAATCAGTAACAACCAATTACATTAAATACCATTCGGTCCACCATTTATGAATTAGCAGCAGCCCACGGGTGCTTTTGCACCTCCAGTTGTTGTAGCATTGATTTCTTTGTATTTACAATAAAAATATATTTTCAATAATAAATAGGCCCATTTATGTCAATGCAAATAAACTAAAAATTAATAAATAATATTTTGGATAAATTTAACATACAAATTGTGTTTTTTTCAGGTTCGTAAGCAACACATGGAGCGTGCTACAGATTTTCTGGTGAAGGAATTGAAAGTTTGCACAACTGAAGAGGCTTCCAGTCGTATATTTTTTATTTCTGCGAAAGAAGTTTTACAAGCTCGAGTACAAGAGCGTAAGGGATTATCATTAAACAGCGGTGCATTAGCTGAAGGGTTTTCAACAAGATATATGGAATTTGAAGAATTTGAACGTAGATTTGAAGAGTGTATCTCAAAGTCAGCAATTAAGACAAAGTTTTTGAATCATTCACAACAAGGGAAACATTTAATCAAGTTAGATACTATTATTATTTAAATATCTTAAAAATTTTAATAATTTAAATATATTATTGTTTTTTGTTATATTAATATTATTAATCATATTAATATTTAATGTTTTTAAACAAATTTTACTTTAAAAAGTGCATTAAAGATAACAAATATTATAATACTAGCAGAAATTAAAATATTGGTAAACATTTTTTTTTTAAGGGACATGTTGAAAATTATGGACACTATTTATAATAGAAGTCAAGAACAAAAAAATCTAAAATTGAATGAAATCAAAAAATGTCAAGAGAAGTTAAATTACACGGAACAATCACTTATTAGTATTACCAACGAAATGAAAATGAAAATTCATCAGATGGTTGATGATGTAGAGGATAAAGCAAGTTTACTACACATATTTTTTTTTTTATTAATAATAATTTTTATTTTGTATCTTTTTTAGGTATCTAAAGCACTCAGTGATGAAATTCGCCGTTTATCTGTTTTAGTTGATGAATTTAATTTGCCATTTCATTCAGACCCATTAGTTTTAAATGCTTATAAAAAAGAACTTCATAGTTATGTGGAATCTGGTCTTGGTAGTAATTTACGAGCTAGACTTTCTACTGCTTTAGCTTTGAATATTGACCAAAGTCAAAAAGAAATGATTGAAAAAATGTCTGCATTGTTACCAGAGGAAAAAAGAAATATACGTTTAAGAAATCCCCAACGTGAACCATTTGAAGTTTTATATCGCTTGAATTGTGATAATCTATGTAGGGATTTCCATGAACACCTTGAATTCAAGTTCTCTTGGGGATTATCCACATTATTTGGCCGTGTGGCATCATTTACCAGTTGGTCAAGTTGGTCAAGTAATCAATCGAGAATCATGATGGTAAATTAAAAATGTTTTTTAATAAATAAGATGGTTAGTAATTATTTGTATTTTGGCTTTGTTGATTTCAGTCTCCTCAATCTAATAATCAATCGCAGTCTAATAATCCACTAATCAATGCTTTTGATGGAACACACAATTCAACCATAGAACACAATTTGCCTGTCATCTCTCGTATTTTGGCAGCTTCTTTAGGAACTCAAGGTGCTATGGGGGGACTTATTTTTGCAGGTTTTGTGAGTATTATTAACATTTAATATGAAATTTGATTTAATGTTCTATGCCATACAATATATAAAATTTACATTTTTTTTTTCAGATGTTAAAGACTGTTGGATGGCGTTTGATAATAGCTACTGGTGGCATATACGGATGTCTTTATCTATATGAGCGACTGTCATGGACAACAAAGGCTAAAGAAAGAGAATTTAAAAGGCAATATGTCCACCATGCAACAAGTAAACTTCGTTTGATTGTCGATCTTACATCAGCAAATTGCAGTCATCAAGTTCAGCAGGAATTATCTACTACTTTTGCACAATTGTGTGAACTGGTTGACAGATCAGCCACTGATCTTAATGATGAAATGAAAAATTTAGATGGCAAATTAAGGATATTATCCAAGTCGACCGAAGTATCAAAAATGTTAATGAATAAAGGTGATGTGTTGAAAGCGGAGTTGAAGCAATTTGACGATACTTTTCTATCCTAATAAACTAGTCAAAATACGTTTGTTATTATATTTTTTTTTTTTAGTAGTTATGTAACCTGTTTTATCGTTGTACAATTATCATTAATCGTTAATTTAATCATTTTAATGTTAAACATTCATAATTGTACCAATTTTGTTTTTAGCGAACATAGAATACTACTAAATATTATCTCATTTAACTTGTGTCACAATATCGTACAGATAATTTCTAATAATCGTCTTAAATAATTGAATAAACTACACCAAAATAACTTAAAAATTTACAATTTTCACTGACTTCCTTCAATTGAAGTTTAGTTTGAAGCTTTATTGGAGTATATATTATCATAATTTTTATTAAATTAAATTGCTTTTTAAATAATAAATTGTTTTATATATAAAAAAAAAAAGTAACATTTTATATTTATTAACTTTGAGTTAAATATGTTTAATATTTAATGCAAAACATGTTTTATTTAGATAAATTTGACTATTGTTATAAATAATATAGGCACATTGATTAAATATTTGATCATGTGACATGGGTATCTATTAGTGGGGAGCTACAATAAGGGGACATGTCCCCTAATGGCATTTCAGTACTTATGATGTTTTAACAGTTTAACAAAATGGTCAATATCATTATTTAAATGCACAATTAAACATTTAGAATGTGATGACTAGTTAAGATTAAATGTAACTTTATTTTATTTTCAATAAATGTAGTACAATATATTACAATAAAAATAATGCAGAAGATAGATATTAAATATACTAATTAGTATATAGGATGTCCTACAGTGTTGTTCTTATGCGAATAATTTTGTCAATATTAATTTTTTTATTTTTATCTGGTTTTGTACAAGGGGGGGGATACATATGTAGAGATGAATTCAATTTTTATTTTATTATGTTTCAACATTTTCAAAATAATAATTTTATGAAAGATATTTTAAAAATGTTAATCCTTAAGCCTGGAGTTCTAATTGAATACCATCAAAAATAACGCATATAATATAAAAGTTTTGTATTTATTTTTTTAAACATTTTTATTGTTAAATTGTTATTCATATTTAAATATCATTAAGTAATTCATGATGTTTTTGAATTTAAACAAAATATATAATTTTAACATTTTTATAAATAGGGTTTAATAGACTCCCATGAAACTATGAACATCAAAAAAAGGCACGTGCCTGCTTAAGGTTTAATGGAACTTACGTACCCGATCAACAGTTTCTTAGTATTCACTGTTTAAATTTCTAGAAAATTGTTATGAAAACTATCAATTTTAAATAGGATAACATGTTATGCCCTAATGAATCACGATCAACGCGGTAATTCTTCATCTTCTATTGAATATTAATTGTTTTTTATATCTGTTTTCTGTACAATAAACCCTCTATAACTAAGAAACTATTAATCAGATATGAATGCCTGATACATTCAAATTTTTAGAATATCTTTTACAAAATGGAGATTTTAAAAAGTTTAAAGTGATAAAAAAAAAAAAATGTTTTTTTTTCTTAATAATTAAAGGATGAATATAAAAATTAAATTTTTCTCTACATATGTGCCCCCCTCTCACAAAATCCGAATGGAAAAAAATACTTATTGACTGAGTTATTAGCATAAGAATAACACTGTATAAATATGCAAATAACAAAGTACAATATTAAAGTCCAAAGAAAGACAGGTGTTTAAAGTAACTAAATTTGTGAATGCCTACATAATATTTGTTAATTAGGTTAATAAAATCAGAAAAAGAAAGTATCCAACTATGCACAATAGTATTCCAATTGTTTTTATTTCTACTGTCATTGAGATTTTTGTTAAATTTGTTTTAAATATTAGTAAATAGTAATATTAGTCAATTTTAAGTGTGATAAATACAGGTAATGTTATTTTGAATAATATTATGTAAGATTAACCAAGTGTAGACATTAACAGTAACTTAGAGGAATTCGATTAAGTTAACATTATTCTCATTACGTTACATTATTATAGCCAATTGTTGAGACCTATTGATTTTTGTGTGAAAATCTATAAGACTAATAGTTGAAAAAAATCTACAAAGAACATTTTATTATAACCTATTGATTGTCTATTGTTACAATTCATTGGCCTTTAGGTTTTTTGTGCAATAAATAAAAGCAATTAACGTCTTCTCGTCCTTTGGGGTGAGTTTTCGCCAACATTTTCTCAAACGATTTGTAAAATTAGGTAAGTTTATGGTTCCGATTTGCCGTCATTAGCAATTAACACAAGTATACAAAATATCATATCGCAAATTATTAACACAGACCTTGCCATTATTGTTGGTACTGTTGTACACTTTGTACTTTACAATAACATTTACCTAGTGTACCCAATTAAAAGGCCACAAATTAACTGGTTTCAATTTAGCTCTTGAAATATCAATAGAACTACCTATCTTTTAAATTTAGATTTTTAGTCTAAGACAGCTCAACAGGCCATAAATCGGTTTCGGACAGGACCGGCGCTAGTAGTTATTGACGGGGACGGGAGTGTACCACTGCATACACACGCATTCAGAAATTTACAGCTGATGGCAAAATGGGTAACGCCTAATTTTGTTATTGGATATTCCAAATTTTATATTTGAAAAACAAATTCGGCCGAATGGCACGGCGGCGAAACGGGATACGACATTAATGTGGTTTGTGGCGCACGCGCAGATTGTGCGTTGGTACGTGTAACGAAAACAATATAATAATAATATACGCGCGGATCAATTCGGCTAAGTGTTTCTGTCGGGGGGGGGNGGGGGGGGGGGGGGGGGGGGGTCAGACCACTCTGTATTCCCGGCCGAACGACAAAGTCCAACGGCCGTGACGGATAGACGACAGAAGTTCCGTGGGCGCGTATCGGGTCAAGGAGACTATCCAAGAGTAATGGCGTTTCTCCTTGATTGCTGTTTTCGACGCAACGACAATCCATTTTACATCTGTCCAAACAAAACGACAGCGAGTCGAGCACTGTCGAACAAGGCGGACGCCCATACACGGTGAAAAAATACACTATACAGACAACACAAGCGTGTTTAGACTTTCGTGGCTCGAGGGGTAGGCGCCAATATTTTCCCCCCGCTAGAGGAGTAAAAACTTTTATATGGCAGTTATGCGACTTATAAACTCAACAACAGATTATCTATTACTAGGGCTAGGATTTTAAAGCATAATAAATAACGAAAAAAAAAAAAAAAAACCGAAATTGTTTTAAAAAAACAACAAACATATTTATTTTTAAAAAAATCAAAAGAACCGTGACCAGAAATTAACATGAGCCGAGTATAAAACCGAACAAGAAAATTTTTAAAAACAATTGACCGCCGTGTATTTTTTGCTGGATTTGCAATAGCGAGACCGACTTACAAATGCATTATTTTTAACTTTTGGCATTTAACGTGAACAATTACACGGTACAAGTTACAACACTAAATTTTAAATTTTGAAACGGTCGATGCCGATGTTATACTGACCGTAGGTACTGCAGGTTATAATATTATGTAGGTCGATAAGCTATCCGCCTGTAAGCTGTCTGTAGGCCGATAATCTATGCATTAATTACATTTGAATACATTATTCAGAAGTCATATGATTATGAGATATAAATAAAAAAAAAGCAGCGTCCCTTGCAATGATTGACATCAACCTGACCCGTGGAGCGGGGCCTAAAATACATCCGATTTCCACACTTTTTAATTCAATTAGTTGACAGATTTGACAGAGTTGACAGATTTCCATAGATTACATATTTATATTATTTATAAAAAAAAGCGTGGACCAAAGTTTATCAACACACAATAAATATAAGTAAACGTCTAAAAAAAAATTGTACTCATATAAAGCAATTGAAAATTAATGACACGTATCGGTTCATTAGTTGATAACATTTATTGCTGTTAATTCTTCAGTTAAAACTAATAAACACATTATAAAACTTGGTGCGCACGTTTGTAATTCAGAGAACACACTATTTTAGGCTCTGTTATGGGGGGGGGAGGCTTCACCTCCGGACCCCAGGGCATTTTTAGTGAATATTTACTGCGTGTTCAGGTGTCGTTTTTAGCTATGACGATCTGGGAAGGGGATACTAAGATTCATCAATCTACAAAGTCGCTTGCAAGAACCTTTATCTTTCGCTTACACACTCGTAGAATTCATGAAATTATGTATAAATCAAATAGCTATTATTTAGTAGGTAGTCATTACAACTTTTTTAAATATTTAAAAACAAAATATCACTTCTTTAATCAAATTACAAAACAAAATAATATAACATCTTTTGAAAATAATTACATTTTTTATTATATGTTAATTAATAATAAAACGGTTTTTAAATGCAATCATTATTTTCCCTAAACAATTTTTTCTCAAAATCCCTATCTTTGTAAACATCAATAACTGGATCACAGTAGCGCCGTTCTTTTTTCTTTAAAAATTCTATTACAGCGGGTCGAGGGTCATAGTTTGCCGTTCCCACACTATTAAGTGATACAAATAGACGATTGTTTATTGTTTTTTAAGATATTCTATTTCATTTTCATCATCATCGACTTCATCGTTACAGGACCCAACATTTTTTTCCGTCACCAGGTACAGACAAGTCCCTACTCCCTGAGAATGGGGCGAGGGGGGAACGATCGATTAGGTATCGTTAAGCTATCGTTAATCGTGCTAATCAGTTATCACTTATTAAATGAACCCAAAAGATTAAATCTTGATGAATCAACAGACGTGGCATCATGTGCACAATTACTGATAATTGCAAGGTACGTTTATTCCAGTATATTTAAAGAAGAATTTCCAGAAAATGATATGTGTTGTCAAAAAAATCGCTACAGATTATGGACTAGGTAAAAAAAAAACAAACAATCCCGAATTTCTCATTAAATTTTTTTAATTTCAGTATTTAATATAAAATTGTATTCAAAAATATAAAAATAATATTATTAAGTTGATTTATATTTTGTTTTTAAAATGATGAACAAATATGCATATGTCATTATTATGATTATTTGTATAATATATACTATGTATTATAAAGTTATTTTGCATTACTAAAAAAAAAAATGTCTCTTTTAATATGGGGGGGGGGCTGAGATATTTTTGAGAATTTATAAGGGGGAATAGGTTAGGGACCGCTGACTTATTTCATAATACAATGTCGCAAATGTACTAGGTATAAAAAAAAAAAAAAAAAAAGACTATTTTATAGCGATAAATTTATAAGGGTTTACAGTGATTTTAAAAATTTCTAAAAATTCTAAAATTCTAAAAAAAAAATGTATGTAATTTAATTTTGTTGACGATACGGAATAAATATTTTTCGAAAATATCGTTATTTACTCATTAAGACGTATCTTTCCTCTCGTTCTGATAACTATAGGTAATTAGCGAGGACACGCTAAACAAAAATAATAGTAGGGGGACTTCATCCCCTTACGTCCTCCCCATTCAAGCGCTGCCCTGTAAATGGCTTTGGTGTAAAAATGTGCAATCTGCATAAAGATCACGTACAATAATTCTGAACACTTTTCAAAGCCCCGTAAACAAAACGTAGCAGCGTTTTGTTTTTCGACGGAGATCCGTAGCGTTTTATTAGTTTTACCTACTTGTTTTTCTTTTTTGTTTCCGGTGGCTTTGCGGCGTCCGCGCCACAGTTTCGTTCGGTACCTATATGTGATGTAAATTAAAATTTACTGCGCCCGACGGAGTATTAGAAAAATAAATACCGATTCTCGTAATTAGTTTAATGGCGGCGTTCTGCGTTACCCACCCTCTTTCACCTCGGAGGACGGTGGGCAGGTATCGCCCCTTTTGGATTCTACCTTAATTGTAAATTAATGCACCGCTTTATTAAACCCGCAACGCGAGGAGGGTTTCGGAATACATAGGATTTGTGTACCTACGCGGTGGCTGCCAATTCAATATATTAATATGACGTATATTGTGTATAATATTAAACTTTATTTATTTTTCCGTTTTTGTTTTATTACCCGGACAAGTTAAGTTGTTAGCCATTATTTACTATTTAGGTTAGGTAGGCGTGTACATAAACACTTAACACAAAACAAAAACAAAACAGAAATAAAAATATGAAAGCTAAATCTCGCTTGAAATCTTTGCGATAGACTGGAAGCACGAAATAACTTACATATTATGCGTCTTAAGTTCGATAACGTTATGCCCGTGTGGGTACGGAGGTTGCCACGGGTCAGCGATGTAATTCGGGCCAGGGCGGGTGATGAGTTTTCAAAGATTTCATAGAAGCAGGATACCAACCCACAAGCCTAGGTTTATTTTCACGGTGTACGGGGGTAGCGTTTTCCTGAAAAAAAAAAACATTCATCGCAAGCGTAATGTCGTCCTAGACTTTTATGAATAAGACAACTAAAAGTTATAGTATTTTAAACCGCATTCGAAAAACGGGCAGAGTATACCTCCTCCCGGTCGTTCGTCAATCCTTTTGCGGCGCGCAAAGTGCTACCGATCGCCACCGGATTTCGTATTAAAAACCGATCTCGTACGTCGATAAAAAAAAAAAAAAAAAAAAAAAATCAAATTTGGCA